TCTGTATTTCTGTTGTGTAGAATAGTTGTAGCCTGGGTCCCCTTGCTGAGCCTTCAGGTCCCCTCTACACTGTTGCTAACACCTGGTACACAATTAAAAACAGTATTACAAACTGATAACAATAGAAAACAAATGTCTGATATACTATACATAAACATAGTTAGTACACTTAGATACATTACAGACTGTACACAGCCAGATATAGTATTTGTAACAAATCAGTTAGCTAAATACCTTAATGACCCTAGTATAGAGTATTATCTAGCACTTAAACATTGTTACATGTACTTAAAAACTATGAACAATGTCTGGCTCCAACTTGGTAGCACAAATCAATCAATATTGAACAAATATACAGACACAGACAGTATGATGCAAGAAGGGCATTGTGCAATATCAGGATATGCATTTTACTTGAGTAATTCATTAGTTTTGTGGTCAAGTAAAAGACAAACACTGGTGGCAAATTCAACATATGAAGCTGAATTAATAGCTCTTACAAGAGGAACACAGGAAGCAATTACACTTACTTATTTAGCCAAAGAGATTCTGCAGGTCTCTGATACACCAATTAATATCTATTACAATAACAATGCTGTTATACAAACAGTTACATTAGACAAACTCAAATATTTAGAACAAACAAAGCATTTAGATTATAAGAAAGATTTTATTAAATGCTACATTGAGTTAGAGTACATAAATGTGAAATACATACAGACAAACAATCAACAAGCAAATATATTAACTAAAGCACTACATGTACCACAAGTCAAACATCTTACCAGTTTACTTAGACTAGTAAGAGTTTGAAGGGGAGTATTATGAGATGATTAGTTCATCAACAGACAAACCACAAGACAATGACTTCATAATGTCTCAGTTAGAATACATACAATATAAGGATGAGAGACACTGAGCAGTCAATTGTCACCTCACCCCTTGTCTATACATGCCCCCCTTAAGTTTTCCCTCTTAACAAGTAGTCTGAATATAAGCAAAGGGTAGTAAGAGTAAGTGATATGAGAACTGAATAACACACATAGTTTGTTGTCTTCCAGTCTGAAAATCTGTAAGGGGGGTCTGACCCCCCCTTTCAGAGTAGAAAGTCGTTCCATCCATCAAGTACCTGCCTTAAAAGGTATAAGTAAGATCATACAGATCTTATCTATACCCTTTTTGTACAGAAATGTGTCAGAGGTTGCCTTAAGTGAAATAGAATCAAAATGATCTAACAACTGCAGAAAAATGTGCTACGGTCTGGAATAATTTTTTTTTATTTCGCTTATAAGACAGGTACAAGTATTTTGGATTTTGGAAGCTTCCAAAATCTTACGGGAAGTCACCCACTGGACAAGATATTTTGGAAAGGTCATACAAGATGAATTGAATAACGATGAACATTATTTATTTCGCTGTATAGATCTCCAAAGAATCGAATAGCCGTCGTCCGAGTCAGAATCCTTCTCATCGTCATCATCACCTTCACCACTATCATCTGTCACTTCCCTCTCATAATCTGGGGATGTTATATCTACTTTGAAACTGTCCAACGCAAGCAGTCTGTGACGAACGACTAAATATTCGCTGCCCCACTTACTTTAAAGATTTATAGAATGTTTCGGCCTCTGCGTTCACTGAGAATGAAAGCTAAGTATCAAGTACGTTCGCGAAATTGGGAGGAACCCTCACACTTTATGTGAGTCAGCATAATTCCGGACATCCTGAAGTCTCTCCCGATCGACTCCAGGTTCTCAATAAGTGCTTTCCCAAGACCGGAACGACGAGAGCCTCCACTGGTTTGTAGTTCATAACTGGAAGGACTAAATTCAGTAACTCGACATTTCTTAGTTTAGTGTACTTGCACGTAAACAACGTTTCTCCCCTCGTCCCTCTCGAATCTGAAGACTGCATACGCAAGGACGTCTTCTGCGCTAAGTAAGCTTATGTCCTCTTCTTGTGAGTCGGGAGTGATCAACAAGAAGCGTGCATGTTCGTGGAACATTTGTTTTTGCTTCTGCTTAGGATCCCAAGGAAAGATGTCGCTTGACTCATAACTAACATGAATTGCAATTTGAGGACATGATTAGCGGGGCATTGCGTAGTGACTTACCCACATTGTCTTCATGTTTGTTTCGAATATCGTCCATATTGCCGTTTTTATTGCTTCGGATAGTTCAGAGGACTTGCATGCATGAACGGAATATCTTAGTCTTCCTCAGCAAATTTCCTAGAAATGGTGTTTGATTGCGTACTGCTTGCCCTTCACAGTCTGCTTACGAGGAACAGACTGCTGGATTTTGGCGGTTGCGGCCTTGAAGTCTAATTCAGCCACTTTTGTAAATGGTTCAAAGGAGTTAATTTGACTGTACAGAGTTTGCTCGTCTTATTGCCGGATGATTTGTGAGGGAGTCATCATCCATTTCGATCGCAACGACACCAGACAAGATGTGTTCAGCAAGCAAGTTGAGCAATGAAGACTTCTGATCTAGCCATACATTTCGATGACATCGTCGATCATTTAGTATCACGTGCTCGCTCACATACAGACGAGCCACCCACTGACCCAGACCCAAAATTTCCTTTTGCTTTGACAATTCCAGACATCCCTCCTGCTCAACACTGAAAATGAAACTTGACGCTACTGATCTGCGTTATGTCTCTTCAGATGAATTTAGGGTACTCACAGCGGTCCGCCTGTTATTTGCATATACACATGCATTGCAGCATTGCTTATGAGTGTCTTAGGTTGAAATGGGCTCGAAGAATCATGAAGTCGTGCCAACTGTCCTAATTTCCAAGATCGCGGGTTTACGGAGTGGAGGTGTCAACAAGATTCTTGGATCTCTTGCCAAGCGGAACCTAATTGCAAGAGTCCAGAATGCAAAGTGTACGTCGAGCTCAGCACGCTAGGTCTTGTCTTGTCTGTGGCTTATCCGCGGAAGAATTAGATGACGGCTATAGGTTGACCTATGGCGGATATGATTATCTTGCTATGCGAGCACTGTCCAAAAGAGATTCCATGTACTCTGTCGGAAATCAGATCGGGGTCGGGAAGGAGTCTGGTTAGTCTTTATGCGCCGATGAGTTGAATAGTTGCTCAAGTACTCGATATTTGTAGATATATACGTAGTGGCAGATGAAGAAGGGAAACAAATGGTGATGAAGATTCATCGGTAAGCGCGAAGTTTTCTATCGCCCGTCAGTTTCTTACCCAGAAGTAGATTAGGACGCATTTCGTTCCGTGCGATCAAGCAGAAGCGAGATTACATGGGAAAGCGAAAGTCTGCATCGTGGATGTATATGTCAAGACTCGCCGCTCAGAAAGAATGGGCGTTCATGAAAGTAAGTCTTTCTTGGAATTGCAGTCGAGCAGGTGTTGAATGGAAGATGTTTATAAGGTCTTGCACGAGCACGGGTTTCCCGTACCAACTCCGATAGATCAAGCTAGACATTGCATAGTCATGGAGTACATCGATGCTTTCCCATTGTAAGTTGACAGGCGCCTCTAGTGTCGTATACTGACCACGTTCTGACTTGTTCTTGACAGACGACAAATAGCTGAACTACCTTCACCGGGAAAACTTTACTCTCAGCTTATGGACCTCATAGTCCGCCTGGCTCATGCCGGTCTGATACACGGAGACTACAACGAGTTTAACATTCTAATTCACCGCGTTACCGGAGAACCAGTTGTTATTGACTTTCCCCAGATGGTGAGCACATCACATGAGAACGCTGAATGGTATGTATTGCCTCCTCATCCTACCAGAAAATATGTTTTGTTACGGAGAGAAGCACTGATCTTTCATATTCCCAGGTATTTCAATCGGGATGTCGAATGTATTCGACGGTTCTTCCGCCGACGGTTCCGATATGAAAGTGTGTTATATCCGCGCTTTAAGGCGGTCGTGAAGGAAGGTGAAGAAAAAGGGGAGAGCTTCCGATTGGATGTTGTCGTGTCTGCTAGCGGGTTTAGTAAAAAGGAAATGAAAACTCTGGAAGAGGTCTGTATTGTTTTTTTCAAGCGATTTATTATGCGATATTGATGATATATCTGATTGACGGCAGTACATGGAAAGTGTCAAAGAGGAGTCGAAGTCCCAGGATGAAGACGAAGCAGTCGAGGATGAGGAAATGGAGGAGGAAAGTGCGGGATCTGATGTCGAAGAAGAAGAAGCCGACGTCGATGAAATGGAGGAAGTCGAGAAATCGTCTGCCACGGAAGAACGACTGGATGTGTCTGTCGAGCCAGGCACGGCCGAGGGCGACAGCCTTCTGACTGCAGCTCGACACGAGAACATCAATGACGACGGTGGGCTTCGCACGACCCGCTCTTCACAGCAATCACAGCCGGCTGCGGAGACAGATTTGGAATCCGACTTGGACGCGCCGTCTCCTTCCGACACTGAGTCTGAACTTTCGCGCCGTTCAGGAGAGCGAGATTATCGCAGTTCCGCGCCATCCCCATCCCCGTCACTTGTCGCACGTGCTGCTTCCCTGTCTCTCAGTCCGAGCGGAGCAGCTTCCGACGATATTCATGTACCCGGACTGGACCCTAGCCACAACACTAGTGTCGACGCTGAGGAACAAGCGCCAATCGCAATTTCCGAGAACCCCGTACAACAGAGATTTACGCGAGCGCACTCGATTAAAGAGCGCGTCGTATCAGACATCGCTCGGAACCAAGCACGGCAGGGCAAGTACCACTCGAGGCGTGCTGCACGCAAGATCGGGCGCCCCAAGGGTAGCAAGGCAAAACAGGACATGCGGGTCAAATTGGATCGCAGTGGGGGATGGGAATAATTTGATGTATTCTATCCTTATGCATGCTTTGATGTTTTGGTTTCTGAATGTAAGTTTGTAGCAATCACGCTTGTACGGCATACTATTTGCCTTCCTGCCCCACGTTCATTGGCGAGATGTACATACTGTAGTCAATCAATTCAATAGTTGATATACTCACTAAAATAAGCCGAGAGGATTTCTTGGAGCCGCAGGAGCAGTTGTATCGCCGATGCTGTCCGCACAATTTTCACCGTCAAAGCGTCAGATCTCAAGCTAGTCTCGGACCAAACTCACTTTGACACATCCTCATCCTCGCCATTTTATTCCAAGGTCACAATATCAGTACGTACTGTATGACGAATAGTCGTACCTTCTGCTTGCCTAGCAATTGTCAGGTACAAGGCCAAGGTGTCGAAGTAAAGTCTGTGGGGAACACCCGAGGAAATGCGTAAAGGGTACTAGCAAGAGTAGACCCATGAACGGACAAATAGCATCAATAGTACCATAATTTCTTGAGCCTTCATTCACACGCATAGCAGGTGGCTCAGGGCAAAGGCCATTGCACATCGTCCAGGCGCCCGAAGAAGGTCGAGACATTGATTGCTACGAAGCCGTACCGAACGATGGGCGGGATAACGGCATGTTGCACACTTCGAAACAGCGAACCCCTGTCAGTCAGAAGACCTCTCATGATCGAACGAGGCGTTACCCCAGATTTTAAGCCAATAAGGATAACCAGTTCGAAAAAGAAACATCTCCACAAAATATATGTCGTGTGGGTATCAAAGAGGCTAACGATGAACAAATGATTGGCAGATCGTACAACTACCCTGTGCACTCGAAGACCAGCGTGTACACCACATTGGGACGAAATACGCACGACACTGAAATCCAAAGGATCCCTCCGGTGTCTGTTTGACAGCACTACAGGTTCGGCCATCAACACTATTGCCAACTTGGGGGGTTTCAATGGCTAGAACTGTGCAAGACAAGTTCCTGAAGCACCTCTTCCAGAGAAATATCAACGACCTGCCACTTACAACAAGACCTTTACCACTGGAATGAATCTGGACATTGGCGGGAGTCTTGCCTGATCTCACTTTACGGTACAGAATGAACAGCAACTGATTGAATCTCTACAGACTGTAATCACGTACACAGTACAAGGGAGGCCCCGCGGCTGTTGGCAGCTCGTGTGGTTGACGGGTGCAAATTCTGGAGATATATACACAAGTCGGGGAAGAATACGAAGGTGAGGGTCGGTCATGTCCAAATCAGTAAGGAAATATACGTATCCGGCGATAAGCACCACGGTCCTAGACCTTCGCATCCGGAAAACACTGCTCGATTCCTTCGCAGTTAACGTCTAATGCAGCCTTGGAAATAAACGAAGTAGTCCATTAACAGTATGCAAGCGGAGAGAAATTGACGAAAGGACCCAAGATTAGACGCGCGTCTATTCTCGGGTGTTAGTCAATATTTTGGTCGGGAAAGGTACAAACGTACATGTATTAGTACTTATTCATGAGGTAGTGTTTGAATCTACCACGAATTTGTTCTTTGGTCTTGATTGGTTCTCAGTCATGCCCTTCCCACTGCCCGTCACACCAACTGCAGAAAAACAGAAAGGTCGTAGTTAGCAAAACAGTCTGCAAAGAAAAGAAAATACATCCGAAACGAAGGCCTCACCCTTTCCATGCGGGTTGTCCGGCGTCTTGAAGATGCTCGTACCCGCGACACCAGCAATGTGGATGCCCTTCCTTTCAGACTTCTTTGCAAACTTCTGCCAACTGGCCTTCTTTTCATTCTGTTCCTTTGCTTTCGCAGCGCGGAGTTCAAGCTTCTTCTCGTTCTTCTTCTTCTTGCGCTCACGCTCGTCCTCGTCCTCTTTCGTCAGCTTTCGCTTGCCCGCGGCGCCGCCCGATGCTCCGCCATACGGTCCAGGTCCGGAGAGATGAGTCGCAGTGGGAGGCTTAAGCTCATTAGCTTTCACAAGCTCAGTAGTGTTGTAGCCTTTGAATACAATGCTGAATACGCGGTTGTCTGCTGCGCCACCCACGTGGGTGATTCGTGCGGGATACCAGTGGCCGTCTCCAGAGTACTTTGCGAGGCACTCATCCCCAGCCGTCCAAGTTTTCCCATTTGCACCCGCGACGGCTGTCTGGGTCGTCTTACGACTAGTTTCTGGCTTATTCTGAGCTTGTGACTGGGAAATGGCAGACTGAGTGAGGTCTATGATCTGCTTCAGTTCCGAAGCGAGGTCCTTCAGCTCCGTGTTCTCAGGGTCGTCCTTGAGAGCGAGCTCAACCTGTGACAACTGCACCTGAAAAGTCTCTAGCTCGTTCTGATCCATAATATCTCCTCCCGCGTAACCTCGGTCTTAAAAGTAGGGAAATGGAGCGCTGGCTGGGGAGGTGGTGATGGTTAAAGGCGTAACAAACTGTGGCAATCATGTGTGTATGCCAAATACGGCCAAACTTCCCGTTTAGGCAGAGTGTACAGGTTATGCTTTCAGATATTAATATCGACAAGCAAAGTACTAGCCCTAGCCCTTTATTAAGTTTATATACCAGAGCTGGTCCCCCAATAAAAGGTATGATAGTGTCTTTGTAGTTGAATAATTAATGAATCAGACTCAGCATCCATATTTGATAAAATCTATTTCATCCGTTGCTCAAATTAAGTTATCCTCATCGATGGACAATCTGTTAATCCCCTTAGACAGCATCCCCGCCTATTTAATTCGTGGTAGTATTCGGAACGCGCTTGTACATTTATCAATATCAACAGCCAACCATGTGGACAAGGTTACGGAATCCGATAGATGTCCATGTATTTCCCTGACCACTCCACACCCTCTCGTAAGTAATTCAACAGAGAAAAGCCCACTCAACCGCTGGACAAGAAATGGATTTATTGACGGGATTGAGAAACCATCACAGTAGCTACGGATGCTTAATAAATTTATCGCCGAAGAGCCAATTGAGTCTCGTTGGAGAGTAACCTGCTATTCTCTAGCACTACGAGACTGTTTAAAACGCAGTCAATTGCTATCATGAGCCCGCGGCTGATTATTACTGTGTGACGCTCCGCGAGAAAAGTTACTCGACAACCCGAGTCCGTAAGTCTCCCCCTGCCCTTGAGATTGTGCTCTGATCCTCTCGTGGTTCGCACGCATTGCTGCAATCTCGCGAGCGTTATTCATCTACGGAGACAAGAATATCAGAAGTAGCTCACGAGACATGTGATAAGTGGAGTCATGGGAGAGTGTAACCGAGAAGAAGGGAGGATCTAAGGCTAGACGAGGCAGGTTTTACTACAAGAGCTCGGAGCTAGGGGGAAGGTGTGGTTGTAAAGTAAGTACAATGGTTAGTTACTCACTGCACGTTCGATTTCAAGTAGTTGTGTGCGGACTCGGACGAAGTCATGCTGCAGTCCTGCGACCATACCCTGAATATAAAGAAGCGAATGTAAACACATGGAAGAGATCATCGGGGACCTCGAAATTCAAGGAGCAAATCACCGAATGCCACATATCCAAGGAAGTGCGTTACATTAAATATAAGAATAAGAAGGTATTTAATTCTCGAATATAAAGACGCGAAAACAATGGGAACGAGAGTACTCGAAAGCGCATTTCGCAAGAGTGGGGTGATTTGGGAATTGTACCCTCCAAAGGGAAATGTCGAATTCCAAGGGGGTCAGAACTAGAAGCACGCACCTTTGCAATTTTGCAATTTAGACCTCTGTACACTTCGAGATCCTTGACATCCACAGGGAAGAGGTCAATGCCGAGCAACTGGCTGTGAAGGCGATCAATGTGTGCTTCGAGTGAGGCGGAATATATTGTACGCCGATGCGGCGTCCCCAAAGTCGCACTGGTAATCAACACAGCGTCAGCATTGTGAATGAACAGCTGAATGAGATTCGAACAAAGAGGAAGCGAGTATTCACGAGATGCGGAACTGTCGATAACAAAGGAGCGTAAAAATAAGATGAAAGAAAGGGCGAAATGACCTACATTTCATGGGGAGTGAATATGTATTTCTCGAGCGAATGAGTCCACATACGCCTAGAGTTGCGTTTTTTACGCTCGGTCGTATTGCCAGAGTGGTCGGTAAGTGATGTACTACTAGCAGCTTCGTCCAGCGGAGCGTTGTCAGTTACTGGAGAAGCTCGTTCTGGCGAAGCAGATTCTCCGCTCGTGTTTGACGAAGGAGAGAAGGAAGTCAAGCTATCTGCGGCAGAGCCATTCATGTAGAATAGCGATTTTGCGGGCGTCATCGGCGTCGATAATTGCGTGCATGGGCTGTCAATAGAACTATGTGGCCTTGAATACGGAGATTCAGACGGGTGTTCATTGACCTTGACCAGGTTTTGCGTCTGAAGTGCTGGCGGGCGCGGTCTCATAGAATTATTCTGGTACGGATCGTGCATGAATCCGACCGGAGGAACAGTTGGTTTGTCCGCAAGGGTTTGGGATTGAGATGGAAGGGCCTGTTGGTAGACATTTTCGAAGAAATAAGGTTGCATCGCACTATCGTGGTCAACAGGGCTTAGGCTAGCGTTAGTGCGGGCGTCAGTTTAACATCCTGAAATATGCATATATGCAAGATTGAAAGATTGAGCTGACTTTGGAGGGACGTTGTGAGGCGTCCGGGTGTTAGACTGGTCAAAGTGCTGGTGAGGAGTGCCCGAATACTGAGCGTCCTGCATAGCGAAACAAATGGGAGAGATGGGGAGAAACAATGATGCAGATATAGTCAATGTCGGAGTTCAGATTTGAAGCATATTTGAGCGCGACTGTGACGGCACAGTTGCGTACTTAAAAATAATATCATACAATACTATATTTTCCATAAAAGGAGTAAATTGCGTTGTGTTTGCCGGAAGTTGAGTTACGAAATATGAGAGCACTCATCCGTACAGGAAGCAGAGAAGAAGAAGAAGTTACACGCGATGTGATCCTGTGCTTGGTCAGCTTGAGCTGGAGATCGAGGGTGTAAAAGTTTTAGATGCCGTAGGGTTAGGCTAAAAGCTTCCCTCAGTTTCTCGTCACGTGTATGCCATTTGCACATTACTCCTGCGTCAAATTCAGAAGTCAAATTCTAATCGTTCCTGTGTCCTCAGCTTTCGAATTTGTCCCGAGTCAGTTCTAGAGTGTGCTCCGTTTTATGTGTTACTTCTCTGCTCGTCCTGTGTCCTCCTGACTTTTCTCGATGGCGGTTACGTACTGCATCACGGTATGGAAGGCTGTGCCAGTGGTAAACAAATGTCGATGCAATTGAAAGAGGCTGCCGATGCATCTGAGATCCAAGGCATAAGTGTCGATCTAGGCCAGCGTGTGTCTAACGCCACCCAGCAAAGCGCTTATGAGAATGGCCATCAAATCTGTATCCGTTGCATACATTAGCAGCCGGCCGAAATATTACGGAACAGGGTTGAATGAATGAACACTCTAGCTCACTTCTGATTCTCTGTCATACGCTGTCTTTCCCAGTGGTATTTATACCATCCATGTCTTCTCCGATGCGCCATAATTCCACCACACAATCCCCACAACCATGCTTGTCCATACATCCAACCATCTCCTTCCCCAGTCTGACGGGGCTCCAGCCGTTCTAAGCAGCCCATCGACTAGCTCTTATATCCCCGACATCCCCTACGACGATTTCACTCGTCCTCGGCATGACCAGGCGGATACTAGCACTTCGCATATCTATTCAAGTCGTCGTGACCGTCGCATGCTCATTGCGCCTTATCCTCTTTCCATCACCACCAGTGCCGGCCCATCTCAGCTTCAGAACCAATATATTAAGGTTCCGCAAAATTGTCACCAAGTCCCTCTCCATTCGCCACGACCAGTCGCATTCTTTAACACTGCGCAAGCTTTCGACAACGCAGCATATAACTCCAACGTTCACTCCTCACTTGCCTTTTCATCTGGTGCTCATGGTACAATACTAGGGTCCTTTCCTATGCAACCCGAGCCAACGAACCTGAGAGATGTAGCTTTGGGTGAACTCACAGCGACGCAGATGGCATGTTTTTCCATGCTCTCACGCAATGTACCCTCGCCCTCGTCGACTCCCTGTGCATCTGCTTATGTCGGGTCGAACCAGTCATGCGACAATGGACCCTCCTTTGCACAAATCCAGATGCCGCAAGTCCCTTCAATTCCGCGCGTCGCTTCTGCTCATGCGCTTCCGTCTCTGCCGTCCGACCTTTGTACTTCAGACAAGCCTAATGGTGCACCGTATCTTCCCGACGCAATTCCGCCAGAAAGGTCGCAATTGCATATTAAACCCAGTAGTGCCCTAGCGCCGCCAAGCGACACCTTTCCCACGCCGGTGGAACTCCTCAACGAGCTGTCCCTACTGGACGCAGAAGTGATACAAAGGGACCGTCGTCGTGCTGAACGCCGTAAGGCACTGCTGACGCATGAATCAGAGGCCCTTGGATTTCCCCCAACCGATCCGTAGGATATATTTCCCAGTAGTCATCCCTCTCGTAACTGATCACGTTCATAAGGGATACAATCTCGACGCACGACAAGAAACGCCTGTATCTCGACTGTCTTGAGCAATACGTTGTATACTTACACAACCAGTTACGTCTTGCTGGTGTTGAACCTGTTCCAGTCGAGCGTGTCTCTTCCGGACGTGGCCTTACTAGTCGCTCGATTCGAGTAAGTCCGTAATTTCATGCATGATTTAGTCGGTGTTAATGCTTTTCGCTTCATTGCAAATTCTCGTCTTTCCCGTTTTTCCTGTCTTTCTCCGATACCTGCCAGACAATGATCGTATACCTGAAGTCGACTACCGCAAAATTACACATACGAAAAGCAGAAGCGGAGACTAAGGTATTTTACCTGACTTCTTAACCCTAGTCCAAGCACATTTACAATTGGCCGAACATAGTATGCCGAACTGCAGGCGCAGCTTGGCGCAGATGCTGATTCAGCGGCGCCATTTCTTATGGCAACTACGGACTTCAACTATGCCAACTTAGGCACACCGAACACGAGTTTGCAACAACTGACTCAGAACGAGAGGCCGGGACCGAAATCAAGCTCAAGCTCAAGTACTGGTGTGAACGGAAGCAATGCGACGAAGATGAATTCGAGCGGGATGCGTCGGCACACTATTGCCACATCGGGCCAGGCAGATCTGGCGCCACAATCAATGCAAAATTGCTTTACAGAGACTGCGACTGGAACTGCGACTGGAGCCAGCGCATACATTCAGCCTGTGTATCCCTTCCCCTGATCCTCATGCTTCTGCCCTTCCATTCCGTCGCCCGAGCATTCCCCGGTCCAGTCAAAAATTGCTGCTCATATTGTCTGATACTATTCGTTGCATGCTTCAATCATTCATTAGCTCTCGTTCGGCATCATCTTCTAGCAATTTATCACCTTCCTGCGTTCCTTCTGTATATTCGTTTATGCAAGATCTATGCTTCCTGTCCACCGTCTCTTCATGATATTCGTGCCGTATGCTAGACGCCTTACATTCTGGTAAACGATTCGAGCCCGCAGAATTAGAACTGCGTCTAAGATATATTTATTTGTTCAATTCGCTGCCGTCTTCCATTCCCAAGCACGTGTCGCAATTAAACTTAGATCACCATTATCGGACGTGCCTTCTTTGTACGTGTACGTGTAACGTCGCAATTATTCATTATATTATATTTGTGCACACTCGGCCTGGGTCTATTTCCTGTTGTTGTAGTGGGAGCTTATTGAGTTGATTTGTATAATGGCGGGTTGTCTTTCCGACGCGGTTTATCATAGTATGACTGTCAGTAATCCTATCCTCTCTCGCACCCGCGTTCTGACATTTCGTCTATTGCTCGTCCATCCCGCAGTACTATACATGAATCGCGTTCAAGCCGATCTTCGAACAAGCAGACACGAAGTCCTTCTTATGACACTATCCGGTTATGCAAGGCCATTCACTGAAATCTCATGGCTATACCAGTACTGCATGTGCAGAGTACTAATCATTATTAGGTGCACAAATGCTGCATGCATTGCATGGTGAAAGCATGCTAATATGAGACATGCATATGCATCAGCACATGGCCTAACTATGCATCTGCATCGGCGCCCTATGCGTACAAGCTCTTACCAGCGAAATCACTCAGAGTCAAATATAGACCATTGAAGCATACGGTCATTCCGATGTTTAGACCTCGTTCGACTTCTAGATGTTCTTTATTCTTGAGAAGATTAATTCTAATAGGGTTTTGGGAGGTTCTTTCTGTCTTGCTTACCACCGCCGGTTTGCCTAATTTGGAGTGAGATGCCCTTTACAGACAACATGACCCACTGTTTCAAGCGTTTGAGTTCAGACCTAAAATGATTTGTGACACGAACATGTCCTCTTGTAATGCACTTCGTTCCTATTCGCATCTATTTCACTTGGGGAATTGTACCTGCAAATTAATCTGCTGTTTGGAAAGGGCTGTACATGATCATGCGACTTAAGTTTGTGTATGGTAAATTGGGCAGGAGCACCGATGGGAGTAAGTGGGCCAACAATCCAGCTTTGACGACATTTGTAAGAATTAAACACCTGGTGCATGTATCGAGAGGTTCCCACACATTCCGGATCCAGGTAAATATAAAAGTATTGAAGCCGTTCCAACTTGTGTCTCTCTGAAGACTTCTGAAAATTGCTAATAGTTCCTAGATGATCCGATTGTTGCAACAGATCGCTGGAGATACCTATACAGTCTAATAGGTTCGTATATACTCATCGCTGAGATATGAAGGGAGAGTCAAGAGAAGAAAGTCTTCGGCCATCAAGATAAAAATTTGAGAAGCCTGTCACGACAAATTCGAGCCTGAGTGTTCTGTGGGCAGAAGGGGGACTTAAAATGTAATAAGACTTCAGTGAAGAGATACCTACTCTTCACAGAAGCCTTTCAGCTCCTGAGGATCATAGTTCGCATGTTCACTGCATTGTGTAATAAGGGGCCTGAATATACAGCGTGGAGCATGCAATTCGGGTCAGCGAGAGCGAAAATCCAGAACCATGAAAAAAAGAAAGTGGTCCCCCTTGTTCTTGACAGAATAAACAGGTCCTCTGTCTCATCGCATACTATATCGCAGTAAAGCCTTGTGCCTTGGCATCCAATTTTCCGTTATAGAGTGAGTGGCAAATGATAGGTGCTCAGAGCTCTGTACTTACTGCCATCCAGGTTACCCAAAGGTCTGCTGACCAGAAAGATGGAACACCTTGATTGCACACTAGGGGACAGATCAAACGCTCTGGATGCCTAAGTCAGTGTTTGCGATTACTAAGTCCTGAGATGAGACTCGAACGACCTGTACTGCTTAGATGTTGGATAGACTGAGAGGCTCGAGCAGTACATTGAGGCTTCTAGAACGAATATCAAGAGCAGAGAGTTATGGGCGCCACAGCGGAAGAGGACATAACTCAATCGTCTGGGGCTTGCGGTAGAAATCGCATAAGGATATCCAAGAGTAGATTTCGACATGTGAGGTACGTTTGTACCTTACCCGGGAACCGACAAGCGTCACGCGCAAAGTGCTTCGTTTGATTCGATATGCAAAATTATCGCGGAAGAATCGAGCAGCACATCTTACCATGATTAGGTTGCGTCTTCCTGTACGCGTTCTGAAGGGAAGATGGGATACCCGCAGCATCAAGTGTTGTGGGGAAGAGTGTAGGCAAGTAACGTTGCCTCCGTACTGGAACTCACGCAAAAATCACGGTTAATGCAGCCTCCGGTTCGGCTCACGATGACACCAATTAGTCGTCTCTTAGCTCCAGAAGTACGTCTTCCACGCCTTTAGAGCGTCGAGCAGAATTGGGCCACAGGTACGAAGGTAATCAACAAGACGGATCAAGAGCCGTTCCCAACCAAGCAGTCGAGTGGTAGCGATTGTTAAGAAGTAGGAAACGTGTAAGTAGGATAATTACTGTTCTCCTAGACCAGCATTGCGCAAGATGCTATTGGCTCAGGCCTCAGGCTGACGAATTACCAGCCTGCTGCTGGGCAGCCCATACGGCTTCCGAGACTTCGAAGCAATATTAATAACGTAATGAGAAATATACAGTTTTAATGGGATTTACATACTATGCCAGTTAGACTCAGCCAATGAACTGCTGTATATAACTTGGAGCTCCACACCCACATAAATAAGCTGAGCTGTGAATGTTGATACCCTCATTAAGTTGATTTGCAGCTGACTGAACTGTGTACAAACGAGGAATCCGCATAGTATATCACTGAAGCTTTTCCAGCATCATCATGCGCGGCTGTCTTCCTAAACTTAAATAACCACCCCGGCAGGGATAAAGCCATAATGCTTAGGTCTACTGAAAGGCAGGAGGGTGGTTGTTTCATAAAAGTCAGGCTTGAGCCTTCTGGTGTAGTAACTAGTAGAAATTTGTGATCTAGATTAAAGCAATAGTGGAAATTTCAATAGAGAATCCCACTTCCAGACAAGTTGGATAGAACATTGATCTAGATTCTAAAGCATGGATAATACAAGCTCTAGTATTAGGAGGGAGGAGGATAAATCAAAGATTGTAGCGCATCAAGCCACTATTATTCGTGCGAGTCAAGCCAGCCGATACCATAATCCTGCAAGATTCTTCTAATTAGTACACATGTGACGACGAAGATGAGATCTAGCAAGAGAGACGATTGCAGGTACAAGGGGCAAAGCCGTCTCAGTAACTCAGCGACGTGGTGATGCGCCATCAGTGGATGACTAATTTCTGTGGCGTTGTTGTGCTGCTGATAGCGATCCGAGCCTCCCGTTTTTGCAAAAGAAATCTCACATCGACCATAACTACGCCTTGCGTCCCGTTTCCCTCACTTCGTTCAATAATCATACCATTGCTGCTCTCCCTCAATCTCTTACTCTCTCCCAGATACTGCTAGTCTAATTCTCTGCGAAGTATTTTACTTACTCAATTCTTGCTTGGCCAGCCGTTCCTCTTTTCCACCAAGTTTCTATTCATCTCCGAGGTCGTGTGCTCGACACAGTGACATTTTATACTTTCGCCATCAAAGTCGGTCGCGATGACATCGGCTTCCTCGCTCCCGGCCTCTGCGATGCAGGCATCCAGAGCTGCCCTGTCCGCCGCCTTGTCCGAAGCCAAAGAATCGGACGGAACAAGTGATGTAACCAACGCCTCTCCGGAGGCGGCAACCAACGGCGACGATATGGAGGATGGCGAAATTCAGGAGGTTGACATGGAATCTCAAGCGGAGGGAATAAGGACAGTGTTTAGTGATCCAACCAATTTTAACGTCAAAGTGCGGTTCCGTCGCACATCTTTTCTCTGTACAACCATGTTGACGAATTAATGCTTGGTTGTACATTGACAGCACCCTCTATTCTCGCCATGGACTCTTTGGTTCGACTCGCCATCTACGAAGGGCAGAAATCTTCCGCAGACGCCAATGACAGCTGCACCCCAGACGCCACTACCTCAGACGCCCGGCGCAGCTGCGGCAATGGGCTGGATGGAGGATATAAAACGAGTTATTAATTTCGATAGCGTGGAAGAGTTTTGGGGGTGAGTTGACAGCCCGTTACTGTTAGCAGAAACTAATTGACATTCATTAAAATATCTATAGGCTGTACAATAATATTGTTCCTCCGTCGCAATTGCCGCAAAAGGCGAACTATTATCTTTTCAAGGTTCTTTTAATATTCATATCGAGAAGGCTTGCAGCCCACTAACTATATATCATGAAGGAGGGTATTATCCCCGCTTGGGAGGACGAAGCAAATAAAGATGGTGGCAAATGGAGCATCCAGCTGCCTAAGGACAAAAATAGGGGAAATGTTGACAAGATGTGGCTATATACAGTATGAATTCCTTGAGGTATTGCTAACTGTGATATTGACGACCTTGAAGATGCTTGCTGCTATTGGAGAAACATTCGACTCTTCCGGAGCTTCCACCGATGAGTTAGCACCGCAGTCGCTAGTGACCGGAGTCATTGTTTCGACGCGTCCGCAATTTTACCGTATTTCTATCTGGACACGACTTGCTCCTTCGAACCAGACAGACGATGAGAAGTTACGGAAGAGGATTGAGACAGTTGGGAAACATTTCAAGACCCAGGTGCTTGGCTACGCCGACGGAGCGAAACTTGCGGGCCCACTTGCAACGGAGGTGGAGTTCCTGTCGCACAAGGACTCGGAGAAGAAGGGGAAATCGAAAAAGATTGTCGTGTAGGCATACTGTTGTTCGTAATATGGTGATGGTGTAGATTTAGCCGACTGTAGGTATTGTGTGGACGGTACTTTTTTAATGATATTCGTAAGTAATATTTCCAGGCACTTCTATTTCGTACCGTGAGAACTATTCGCCGTATGTGGGCAGTGAAGCGTTCTATGACGCGCAGCTAGACTGCGTATGGCCCTGCAAGCTTTATCGCGTATATAAACCCATATCACCGTATCCACATCCATCTATAGTCTGCTTGCCCTCAACCACCATGTCCAGTTTCTTCTCATCGCTTGCCAATAAGGCGCAGTCTGCATACGAGCAGTCGCCGATCTCCAGTCAAGTCTCCCAGTTGCAGGCGAAGCTGCAACAGGGCGGCTCGTCTGACAGCACGACGACGAATCAATCCTCTGCGCAAGGCGCGACTGGTGCCAAACCCCAAGTACTCGGTAGCCTGACCCACCAGTTCAGGAACTTGCAAATGCAATACTCGTTAGTAACTCGTGGATGTATGCGCCTTTTTGCTTTTTGCTTATACTTGCCCGACGTGGTAGCAATGTTTCACCTACCCAGCGGATAATCACCTCGCAGAAAGGCGTCTGTCTTGATTTTGAGAGCGTCTCTGTAAGCTTCTCCGGATCCTGTATGACCATCTGCTCTGGTTGATGGATGTCCTTCCCGTTTAGAAAGATGCAAAATCTCAGAGCAAGGAGCTATACACGTGGGGCCAGGTCCAACACGAAGATATTAAGGATGGTTTGTCGTTATGCTGCCTGCACCATGAATCACTGCATATCTTACCATATTGTTTAGTAACGGACAGACTCGCGTACCTTAATTTCGTTCACGGCGCATTGTCTGCCTCCCTTGCAACTCAATTGGATGCCTCTCGTTCATCCATGAAGACTCTCCGCAACACTGAGAAGGCTCTTGAACCGAGGCGCAATAATCGCTCTGGCCTTGCAAGTCAGATTGCCAAGCTTGAACATGACATGCAGAAAGGGTCAGAAAAGCGCTTGGCCGATTTCAAACAGCAGCTTGCGAAGCTCGAGGCTGAAGATGAGTCCGCTGAGAAGGAAGTTGAGATATTGAAGAGGAAAGCAGTTGCGGACTCGGAGCGTGCTAAGTGGGCTGCTCTCAGAGAGGTAAATTAATTATATCGGAGAAATTCGGTTTAGTGACGCCTCTTATTCTGCAGTATGGTGAAAAGCTCGTTCTTCTTGCAGAGGCTTCGGCCCCTATAATTTCTGCCCTCCCATCTGTGCCGCCCTCCACCGAACACCCCTACACTGGCGCACAAACCACAGCTGCGACTCGAGCTTCTCTTCAGCAGGCGTTAGATAACTTCAAGCCAGGAAGTATCACTCATTCTTTCCAACCCTCTGTCGCCGATATCAATCGGACGGACTCACGAAGCTTCGGTGTTACCCACGCGGCGGAACTGTCAAGCATTGCTTCACTGAACTTGCCTGGGCAGCAACAAGAGGAACAAGCTGATACAGCGGTTCACCAGGCTGATCTACCCCACCCTACCGGAGGAACAGGAGCATCCCCGCCTCCTTTTAATCCTGGTGCACTGAATAATGCGCCGGCCCCGATCCCCCCGAAGGCTTCGCCTCCGTCTGGTCAAGCCAGCGAAACGACCACCGCGCCTTCCGTTGTATCCAACGTTTCCACGTCTCCTGCGGAGGCCAAAACTACTCCGCTCCATGTACCCGAACCCACCGTCGCGGAGACCGGTATCCCCATATCTGCTGGCGTGGGCGGACCAGGACCTGCTAGCGGATCTCTCAAAGACTTGAAGGCTGCGTCTCCACCATCTGCCACGCCATTCGGAGCTGCGCCTGGATACACTGGAAGTTCAGGTCCGGCTGCTGGAAAGCTTGAGAGTGCAGAGGACGAGAAGGCACGACTCCAGCGCGAGGAACGGGAGCGTCTACTACACAACACTGGTGCAGCTCCACCCGCACCGCAGAAGTACGAGACGGCTGAAGAGGAGAAGAAGCGTCTCGAAAAAGAGGAGAGGGACAGGCTACTGAAGGAGGCGGAAGCAAAGCAAGGTGGATCCGGAGGCAAGGATGCAGAAGGTGATGGTTCTACGCCTCCTCCGTACCAGGACTTCTAAAACAGCGGGAAGATTGTAGTTACTAAGGACTAGTGTCCGGGACATTTTCGTAATCATGGCCTATGGTTTTGACTACGCGCCGAAATGGCTTGTAATTGTATTGTACAAATGCTGATGAGGATAGTTTTTAAGCAGTGATTTCTGATTGAGTAATGATCTGCGTACCAAAAGAGGATAATCAGATAATCCGTGCCGAAAAACCAAGAATGACGAAGACTCCGACGGCTAGTCCCAGGCTGCACTTTCTCAGTCTCTCACCGTCCGGTCTGTGTCCATCCCTCACAGCGCTCAACGCCATTGCCTGAGTGGCTTTTTCTCTGGTGGCCCTCATGGACCCTTTCAATGCAAAACTAGTGGCAGCCGCCACTGGGTCGACTCTCACCGCCCTCACCAGTGCGTATTATCCTTACAGAACTCATCCTTTTCTTGGTTTGACTCCGATTCGTAGTGACTCCATTCGACGTCGTGAAGACGAGGTTACAAACGCAGCCTCCACCGCAAATACCTTTGTTCCCTAAACCACCAACGCCTAATGGATGCTGTCAACCGAACAGTGCTTTGGGCTGTGTACGCAATATGTCATCTTACGCTCGACCATTAGCAACCGAAGTTGTCTGCATCTGGGACCACGGAGTGTTGCGGACAGAACGGGTCAACGGATTTTGGGATGCAATACGACATGTTGTTCGAGCAGAAGGCATGAAGGGGCTGTGGAAGGGTGCGGGAACAACATTGTACGTCCATATGTCCATTAATAATCGCTCTAGATATATTTTTCTCATTTATTATTTGTGAAGATTAATTGGCGTTCCTTCATCGACATTTTATATGATGACATACGACCATTTACTCCGCGTTACCCTTCCTCCAATATCCCCCTGGCCGTCTCTTACACCGTTATTTGCTGGTATCATTGCACGAAGCTTCATCTCGACTTTGGGGTCTCCTTTAGAACTCATTCGAACTAATCTCCAGTCAACACCTATATCACCTGACACTCCTCATACCCTTCGCTCTGTTTTGGTTTCTATCCGAGAGGTCGCACAAAGGCAGGGTCCGCTTTCTTTATGGCGCGGAGTCGGTCCCACACTCTGGCGAGATGTACCTTTCAGCGGAATTTATTGGGCAGGGTACGAACGATTAAAAAGGATTTTAGAAGGCAGAGGTTTCCATGGTGCTCCTGCTGCGTTTGTCAGTGGTGCAGTGAGCGGCACAACCGCGGCAATTATTGTGTCGCCCTTTGACACGGCAAAGACGCGCCGACAAGCCCTCGTAATGTCCTCGATTTCTGGCGGATCTTCTGCGCCATCCACTTCGGTGGTGTCCGTCTTGAAGGAGGTAGTCAGGACCGAGGGGGTCTCCGGCCTCTTTGCTGGACTCACGCCCCGGATGGCAAAAATCGCACCAGCGTGTGGGATTATGATTGCTTGCTTTGAGGTATGTGCACTTTATTATTCGATTACTAGGCTATTGGGGGCTGATAGTATTCGTCAAAGGGTATTGGAAAAGTGCTAGCAAAACCGTTAGACTCATAGATTTTGATCAGAACACACACACTCCCCGCATTGACGACTTTTACGCAATTATTTTATTCGCATTTCGGTAATATAGAGTAATATAAATAGTGACGCAAACTACAATTACAACAATCTTATCTGCAATGAAAGCCTTTGGACCGCGGCTGTGTTGCCCGACAGCTTTATGGGTACAGCGAGGATAATAAAAAGGAAGTGAAAATGGAGCCGGCCCTAGTTTCTTGATTCGCGACCCGCTCGACATTGAGAGCGTGACCTCAGCCTCGTGCAACTCGCGACAAACTACTTAGTACTCAACTATTCAGCACTTTCGAAATCTCTTTCGGCGACTTTGAACATCACCTTGTCAGACAGAATGACAGCTACTTCGATGCATTTTGGCCCGGAGGTAAGAGTCGTCCCTCCAAATGATTACATTTCACGGTCTGAACTGTAAGTACCAGTGGATGCGCAAGCAGCCTGCCAAACCCATTGCGACCTCCCCGCCTCCTCCCCCTCCGTCTTGAACGACAATTTCTATTACCTTGTACGTTCCCAGTAGGATCCACGTAAGACCACTGTACTTTAGTTAGATCGATCGAGTCCGAGGTATTTCCTCCGGTCCTGTTTGTTAAGTCCGTACTCTGACCAGTGGCCCCATCGGTTGTGTCATGTAAATTATTTCCTGCACTTTGCGAAATGTTGATTTCTGATGATGGTGGGCCATGCTCTCGAGGCTGGGCGCTCCTGGAGTCCAGCGCATTCTGACCGGATGCATATGCGCCCTCTTTTGCTTCTGAAGATCCGGGGTCCTTCTGAAGCTCTTCTTCTTCGTCTACACGATCTGTGAAAGGCTGTCCAGACTGTATGCGCCGTTTGCCACTGCCCCACGCTGTGTCAATGCCATTAAGAATGCCGTCAAATGCACCGCCGCTGCCCATACGATTACGCGGGGAGGCTGTTGAAGGTGACGCAAGACTTCCGGGTGTACCAGACCACGACGTTTTTCGTGGCAAGGAGAGAGGAGGATGGTCTGCATTATGCGCAGGCATAAGTAAAACAATGCACAACAAAGACTACGGACCGTGTACACATACCCGTGCCGGTACTATCTCCACGCCTACGCCTCCCCATGAGGCCCAAGCCACTATTCAATGGTCCGCCTTTAGGACGGTCATTCTGTGCCATATAGTCTGTCGACTGGCGACGTCGAATTTCGGAGTTCAACGAGGATGCGTATAGCTGGGATTTTTTTTGGCCTTTGAGCAAAGGGAGCATGTGGCCGATCAAAAACTTTACGCCTACCTTCTTTTCCGTCTCACTGAAGTCGCTCAGGCAGACCGGATCACCTGCGGGCTCTCTTACTATTCCTTCCCAGCGTTCCACCTCAATTGGGAGCTCGCTGAATCCCCCAGCATCTTTGTAGACTTGAAGCATCTCCTCTCGTGAATATTTGAAAGGGTGGGCTATGTCACGCTTGCCCTGCACGGGCGGGGCTTGAGGCGTAACAAGTGCGGAATATGAAGCCATGCCTGGTGGTGGAGGAGCACTATTGGATTGTCCGCCAGGAGCACCAAGAAGATTTTACTTACCTAACCTGAAGGTCCGTTCCCTGGAGAAACCATGCAACTCTGGCACGACCAGCATTATTTCACTGACGATCTCATGATGAAGAGGACCGATATTGACACTGATTTTATGCCGCTCTTGGAGATTAAGCGCCGGGCTCTAGGCGCACGTATTTTCCTTTCACCGCTGAGCAATAATGTACCCCCTCCTGGACTCGGGTATATGCCATCTGCGCCTACATTGAATCCCCTTCTACAACGCACAGGGATCCTGGACTCGCCCCGTCAACCTAGCCCACAATCATATGGGCGGAGTAGCACCTTGGACTCCTTAATGGCTACGGGCCCAGGTACGAGTACGACTGGGTCCGCGTCACCTTCATCTTCGTTTGGCGGAGGTAGCATTGCTCGAGGGCCAATATCTCCGGATCCTATAGCCGTCGGTAGCCGCCTTCAACGCCTTACCTCGGATATCCCGTTGAACGGACGAGTTAGTGCTACTGGCAGTTATTCATCAAATGACAGTGCAGCAATCCCTCAATCAGTTCGAAACGTGTTCAATGAGCCTGCCCTTCAACCGAATCGCGGTTCGTTTGACGTGCCGTCTTCAACTCCTTGGCAAATACCGCAGGGGAACAGTATGCAAGGTTGGAATGGCGCACCACAGGATCTCTCGCAGTTACGTCAGCTGAACCGATTCGAGCACATGTCTTCGTCTGTGGGACATACGCCATTCGCCCGTGACTCGTCGCCTTATGCTATGGTGACTGGACCAACGACCGTGGATCCGTTTTTGCCGTCTTCTGCACCTTCGCAGAGATATTATGGTCAACTGGAACAACCAGACTTTCTTGCTAGGCAGCCGGACATACCAGGAGGTGGTAAGCCAGCATTTACAATACTGCGAGATGTTTTTTTGACATATGACGGTTTTAGGTTTCCTGCAAGGGTTAGGTGCTCCTCATTTGCAACCAGAAAGCATCCCGCAGCAACAACAGCCTCCTATACCTCAAGTGTCGACTACTTTCAATCGTGACTTCGAGCAATCTCCAGTTCCATCACTTGCCTCTCCCAACGCGGCCGACAAGCAATATCAGGTGCAAACCAGGCAGCCACCTCCTGCATCGCCTTGGGGTGCACCTCAAGCTAGAGAGCCGCCTCGTCCTCGCCCTTTGGATGCTGATATTCCGAACGCGAGTAATACATTTGTGGTTTCCCTTCCGCAAGCCTCTCAATGGAATAAGCCTCAAACCGACATCCGACCTCAGGACCCATGGCTATCGGATCCGCAAACTAATGGCCAGGAGGGACAGGTTCAGCTAACTGAGGAACCGCAACAGTTGACTACCGCTAACATAAACCAACACAACAAACAGCAAAAGCATATGAACGAACAAAATGTGACTGACCCGACGCCAGCGGAGAGTTCTAAGTCAAACCGCGTGACCATTGACACGAACGAGACGACGCCTGCACCGACAAGTCAGCCATCTCTTTCTGTGCTTTCGCCTTCTGTGGCATCACCTGCGATAGAACAGCCTGCTTCGACAGCGCCTCGTTCGAAGCGCAAGGCTGCCACAGTTGCTACTGCACCGGTCCCAGAGAAGTCTCAGCCTGCAAGCTCCACGACTCCAGTAAAGGCACCATCGTCTCCCCCTGCTCCCCAAAAACCAGCATGGAGTATGGATGACGAAGTAAAGCCCAAGCAGGCGGCTTCACCCATGAATTTACGTGAAATTCAGGAGGCGGAGAGGAAGAAGAAGGAAGCCCGTAAGAATGAGGAGAAAGAGCGGGAACGCGCTGCCCGTGCAGCTGCAGCTGCTTCACCGACTGAAGAGGTTCAGTTCACCGCTTCTTGGGGCCTGCCTACTTCACGTGCTGGCGGACGGGCTAATGGTCCCCCCACTGGGAAAGAAGTTCTGGCTGCTCCGCCTACCACAGCTTCTGCGCCTGTTTGGACGAATGCTGCTAAACCTGTTGCGAAGACCATGAAGGAGATTCAAGATGATGAAGAACGCCGTAAACGTGCTACGAAGGAAAAGGAGACCGTTGCAGTATCAGCGGCTAAGAGGGTTGCACAGGCTCCAGCTGTCAAGGTATAGTCCAGCTTTACTTTTGTATTCGCTTCGTTACTTATAAGTTCATTTAGATGCCTTCCGCGACTACTCAGCCAACTGCCAGTGCTTGGACTGTTGTAGGCACCGGTGGGAAACACCAAACGGCTGCGAGTGTCGCTGCATCACGACCTTCTATGGTTGCTCAAGCGTCTAATCCGAGCATTGTGCCAGCTCGTCCGACAGGTGTTGCAAGCACAGCTCGAACTGTGAGTTCGTCAATAGTAGCAAAGAATGCTTCTTCCACGTCTAAGGCGGCGGAGGAGCCTGCCGCACCGTCTCTGGAATTTATGAAATGGATGAGGGATGCATTGAAGGGGTTGAATAGCTCTGTCCAGTGTACGTTTTACTTTTCTACTCCGTCCCCCTCTACGACGGGCTCACATCTCCCTGTGTAGTTGAGGAGATAGCACAGATGCTACTTTCCTTCCCTCTCGACCCGGATGACACTACCAAAGAGCTCATCGCGGAAACCGTCTACGGAGCGAGTACTACGCTTGACGGGAGACAATTCATGCACGAGTTCGTATCGAGACGCAAGGAAGACGCTCTTGGTCGTTCGCGTGGTGGTCGTGATCAGGCATCAAGTGGGAAGTCAACATCACTCGCTGATGTGGTGAAGACGCAGCCGAAGCAGGCCCAGAACGACTTTGGGGCGTTCAAGGTCGTGAAGAAGAAGAATAAGCGTTCCTGAGGTAGTTAGAATATCCCGTCGTGTTACCGTTGGCCACAGTAAATTAGTATTGTCTCATCCGCAAGTTGAATACACCTGAGCATTCAATAAAGTCATTTACAAGTTTAATAGCGTTCATTTATACTTCTCGTTAATGGCAGTGTACAAAAAACATGATGAATACAGATGTCAGTAAGCTAAGGCCGAGTCCAGAATACAAGCAAAATAATGAGCCTCCAAGCAAGCCACGGAATGACTGTAAAACTTCACTGAGCCTTCCTTCGCCCTTTACGAGACCCACCTCCACCAGCACCCAAACTCTTCAAACATTCATCACAGAACCAACTGTCAGGCAGTGGCTGTTTGAGACCAACGCAGCCCAAATGGAACTGTTAAGTAAGACATAGTTAGCAATGTCATTGACTGAGGGAAACACTCTGTGGTGGAGAAACAGCTTACCCATTCATAAGGACAGCTATCGTTGTCACATGCAATCATCTGGAGGGTAGAGGGGGTTGGCTTCAGTAAACAGGAAGATATACTGGGATAGAGAAGGCATACCTCTCCGTACGACACTTTCTGACAATAGCAGTATAATCCTTTATCTTCAGGATCACCAGATTCATCTTGGTCGTCAACATCTCCATCGGCATCGGCATCTTCACCTTCATCGTCTTCGTCGACGGCGGGAGTGGCAATACGGCGAGAGCGTGAAGCTGCAGGCGGAGGTGGTGGTGAAGGATGTACTTGTTGAGAAAGCCGTGATCGAGCTTGCGGAGTGTGCGCGCGCGAGACATTGGCACTGATGCTAGCAACCGCAGCACCGGTATTCAACCGTCGACCTAAAGATCACACAGTGTAAGAACATCGAAAGACAGCACACAGTGAGAATCATGCAGCTTACGCTTCTGTGCATTCTGGGCAGCACCAGGTGGAGGTGGGGTAGCAGAGACCAACTCATTAGCGACAGCGCTCCGCAAACTATCTTGCAATTCTCTAACAGAACGTGGGACAGGTGCAGAGATGCTCGTGTTCGCACTGAGACCAATCGGTGCCGACGCGCCAGGAAGCGTCCCAACGACGTATCCACCGCGTACCTCATATTGCTCCTGTGTCTGTTCGCCCGAAAGTTGTACAACTCTAGCATGGTCATGATCGAGTCGTGCGCTGACTCGGGTCAGAGTCTCAACAAGTCGAGTGGCAAGAGCAATCTTCTCCTTCGAGAGTTGTTCCATCTCTGCAAACGCATTGGAAACGCGAGCTTGTATCGCTGAGTCTTTCGTGTCTTTATCCTTCCCGTTTTCCTTTGGCTCTTTTATATTGAGGTTCTTGAGAGCATGTCTGAAGTAGCGATCACTATTCTTGTGTATTTCCTGTTGTAACTCTAAAAATACGGATCAATACAGGGAGCAAATAAGTAACTGACAAAACAGAACATACCATTGACTCGTGTGTCTTTATGTTTTATCTCAGCAAGCAGATGTTGCACTTCATTTGGAAGATTGTCCAAACCTACGTGAGAGAATAAGAGAATAAGTAAAGACGAAAACGGGATTATAACAACTGCTGACTCACTTGACAGGAATTCTGCAGCGATGGTAGCTGCTTCTTCTTGGTTTGCCACTGCAACGCTATTCATAATGTCGCACTGGGCGCCTTGTTAGGTGTTTCAATGTAGTATAGGTATCTTAGAAGATTTGAGCGTTAGGTGGCTTATGGTCGAAAAGAGCTAAAGAGCTTGTATCGTGATGGTAAGTGGTAAAGTTAGAAATAAGTCGCGACAGAAGTTGCACGTGCAGATGATCGACGGCAGTAGTGGCTGTGTAATCACATGGACGATGACTAACTGCATACAGTAGAATATGTCTTATTGCATCACATCACAATGCATAAATGGCATAATGCATAGACATTTGGTGAAACCCTCTCCCGACGTTACGCAATAAGACATTTTCAACTGTACTCTAATCCCACTGCGTATAATATACTAACTAATAGTCCACATTATCCAAATATCCTACGAATGATACATATATCCAGACTAATCCAGTACAACAGCCTAATTCTCAAATAATTACCATTGCTCCACACAGTGGGTTCTATGATTGACGAGACGTCTGGTACACCTTCACGCTCGATATCTCCCAGTACGCTTGGTCAAACGATGCACCGTTGTTGCGTACAAACTCGTCGCATGTCGAGTATCCCGTACGTGTTGCACAGCTTGCCCCCTGACCTGGGACACCCGTCGAGCCCCATAAAACTCCCGCCCATTGCCCACTGGAACATGCACGGGGAAATCTTTTTGAGACAAAATCTAGATCAAACCAAAGAACACATACCAGAACGTAGTATTGATGATAATAGTATGGCTCTTGAAGAATTTAGAAATATCACAGTTTGATGCCGGCCATCGGGCTATTGGTGTGCCCCACGTATCAGGCAGCGGCGCTTCTGCATCGAGGTCCTGCGGAATCGATCCACGAGGGAAGAAGTACACTGCAATCTGGTCATCATCCCAGAGCGCTACTTCAAGTCAGAATCGTTTCCGTGTGCTAGTTATCAGAAGCAGTTCTGGCTTACTGGCGTATACACCACCACCAACTGAGTTGAATCCTGTAAAATAATTCGTTAGAAGCTGGGCAGATTGGCGAGGTCCAAGACTCACCCGAACCATAGGTGGTATTCGAGTCAGCTCTCATACCACATCCTGTGTTACCTGTCTCCGTAGTTGCGCAATTAGTGCCACCAACGACCGTCGCCGCAACGTCGAGCGACTGAGGAGTCGAGTCTGATGGGATTGTGCATCCTGGTGCAGTGTGAAGCGTTGCCTGGTTGTTTGTATAGTCACTTTAAAAAACGGTCAATGCAAACTCCAAGGAGCCCTTGATAAATACTGCTTACTTGACGCCCTATGTAGATTAAAATAATTAAGGGAATGCAACAGGTCAATCTCGTCAACATTCTAACACTCACTTCCAATGAGTCTATTTCACCTGCCGCACCTTCAACACACGGTTAGTCACATAGGGTTGATTACGAGACATCATGAGTACCGTTTGACCAGAAAGCACTGAAATGGAAAGGAGTTTTTGTTTCAGACCTTGGGCATGACATGGGTGGAACATACTCACGGCCAGGTGCCGCAGCCTTGAGGCATATGCACAGCATCGAGAACAAAAATACCCTCTGCAAAGTAAAGTGTTCACTATGAGGATATTCCTCGATTCAAGAAATGTGAGCGCACGAGTGAAAGAATTCTCAGTAGTGATGCGGACGGCCTTCCGATTCCCAGGTATCGTCGGAGTTGTGTCTACTCTGATCACAGCGTTGCCAGCATCGTTAATGGCTATTAATTCGTTGTCTTCCTGTAGAAATCATTCAAATTTACTGCAAGGTCAAAGAGCGGTGATTTCACAACGTACTGCATTTGATTGACTTTGATAGTCAACAGTACCTGTCAATATGAATGAGCCCTTTTGATACAATGTTTATCAACGACGTTTTGCGTACCACCAGTAGGATCCGGGAAGTCAAAGAACGAGAACCCATCGAAGAAGTTATTTCCAGACTGAACAATGCTCAATTAGCTCCTTTTTGCAGGAAGATGCCGAGTGGACACACATGAGATTCAACCAGCTGGTAGGCAGATGTAGCAGTTGGCGTTGCCCCTGAGGCGGTTGCAGATCCCGTCGATCCAGAGCGGTCGGTAGTTGGCGACGTCGACGAACCATTCCCTTTCAGTCCTAAGTCATCTGGGCGAACGCAGTACACACGACGTGATGCATTTGGGTCAAATTCGTCTTTCTCGCCAGACAGGCCTTGGAAGACGACTCGGAGGTCGCGAGCGAATTGTACACTATGCCTCTTCGCGTATTGGTGAAATCGTTCTGTCACTCGTGCCAATGCCTTGTGAGGCTTGAATGCGCAAGTCGTAGGTGCTGCATGGGCGAATAACAAAATGGATAAAGCCAGCGGAAGGTACATAACCCGAATAGTCTCAGAGTCATAAGCCAGATCGAGTAGATGCAATGTTAAAAGCACAGGCCATGAAGAGACAGGCCCGAAGTCCGTGTTAAGCCGGCCCCGTGTTCTCAGGCGGGTTGCGGAAGAAATCTTGGGCAGTCGTGTATTTACAAATACTTTCCTAGACGCACATAATGTGACATATGCTGCGCGGTCTTCATCACAAGAAAGGTGATACAACCAGAGCATGACGAAATCCCTTCCGTAAGCCTCTTAGTGGAATAACCCTCACACCGAAACTCGACCTTAGGACTCCCGGTTACCGGATCCAAAAATTAATAGCCAGAACATATACCGAAGAGCCGCAACATTTGACCACCGTCAACGTAAAGTAACGCGATAAGTAGCAAAACCAATGAACGGATAAAAACGGGGCTGTCCCGATGACAGCAGAGAATTCTAAGTTGAATCGTGTGACTATTTACGAATGTATAGTTTATTATAAATAAATCCACATTATCCAAATATTCTACGCTGATACATATATCCAATACAACCCTCTAATTCCCAAATAAATGTATACTGTTCCATATTATGAGTTCTATGATTGACGAGACGTCTGATACACCTTCATACTCGATATCTCCCAGTACGCTTGACCGAACGACGCACCGCTGTTGCGTACAAAGTCCTCGCACGTCGAATATCCCGTACGTGTGGCACAGCTTGATTCCTGACCTGGGACGCCTGTTGAGCCCCAGACACTTCCCGCCCATTGCCCACTGAATTTGTATAAGGAATTAACCGATTTCTTGATGAAATCTAGTGCAAATAAAAAAACACATACCAGAGCGTAGTATTGATGATAATCGAGTGGTTCTTGAAGAATTTGGCCATATCACAGCTCGAGGACGGCCATCGCGCCATTGGCGTGCCCCACGTATCAGGCAGCGGCGCCTCTGCAAGGAGATCCTGCGGAATTGAACCACGAGGGAAGAAGTACACTGCGATCTGGTCATCATCCCAGACCACTGTTCCAAGTCAGTAACCGTCTCGATCACTAGTTGTACTTAGCTTACTGGCATATACGCCACCACTAATTGAGTTGAAACCTGTAAGAGAACACATTATAAAAACCGTGCAGATTGACAAGATCCAGCAGGGATTTACCAGAACCATAGGTGGTATTCGAGTTAGATCTCATACCACATCCCTGATTACTTGTCTCCGCTGCAGCGCAATTGGTGACACCAACAAGCGTTGCTGCAATATCGAGCGATTGGGGAGTCGAATTTGATGGAATAGTGCATCCTGGTGCAGTGTGAACCGTGGCCTGGTTGTTTGTGTAGTCACTTGGCGAAACGGTCAACACAATTTCCAGAGAGCTCTTAATATAAAACTTTGCTCACTTTACACCCTATGTGGATTAAAACAAATAAGTCAAGGCAACAAGCGTATCATGTCAACATCTAAACACTCACTTCCATGATGTCTATTTCACCAAACGTAGGCCAGTCGGGACCTGCAACGCACTTTCAGTCATCACACGAGATTTGATCATGAGACAATGTGGGTACCATTTGACCAGAAAGCACTGAAAGGATACCGTTATGTCAGAATTCCGTGACATAAATGGAGCATACTCACGGCCAGGTTCCGCAGCCTTGCGGCATATGTACGGCATCGAGAACGAAAATACCCTCTGTAGGACAAACTATTCACTACTAGGACGGAATATCATTAAAGAATGCCAGCGCACGAGTGAAAGTATTCTCGGTGGTTATGCGGACGCTCTTCCGATTCCCGGATATCGTCGATGTTGTGTCTACTCTCATCACAGCGTTGCCAGCATCATTAATGTTTATCAAACCGTCGGACTCCTGTAAGAACCATTCAGTATTATCGCAGGTTACAGGTCATTGATTTCAACACACCGCATTTGATTGGCTTTGGTAGTCAACAGTACCTGTCAACATGAATGAGCTTTTGGTACACCAATGACTAACGACATGCTATGTACCATCAGTGGGATCCGCGATGTCCCAGAACGAGAATCTGTCGAAGAAATTCTTTCCTGACTGAACAATGCTCACTCAGTTCCTTTGTGCGCCAGGACGCCCGACTGGACACTCACATGCGATTCGACTAACTTGTAAGCAGATGTAGCAGTTGGCGTCGCCCCTGAAGCGGTTCCCGTCGATCCAGGGCGGTTCGTAGCTGGGGACGTGGACGACCCATTCCCTTTTAGTCCTGCCGATAAGTCATCTGGACGAACGCAGTACACTTGACGTGAAGCGTTCGGGTCAGAGTCGGCTTGCTCGACAGACAGGCCTTGGAAGACAACACGGAGGTCGCGAGCGAATCGTGCACTATGTCTCTTTGCGTATCTGTGAAATTGTTCCGTCGCTCGTGCCAACGACCTGTGAGGCTCGAATGCACGAGCCGCAGGTGCCGCCTGGGCGAATAACAAAAGGGGTAAAGCCAGCGGAAGATACATAAGCGAAGAGTCAGGGCCACTAAGCGAGAGACTAGGTAGAAGGCTAAAAGATGAAGTCGCCGGGGGTGTCGAAAGGTAAAATATACGACTAAGGCTCAGCCTTAGAGAGAAGCTAAAGGTAGTGAGAAAGAGAAGAGGTGCGCGGAGAAACTAAGAGTAGTGAGAGCCATGAAAAGACAGGCCCGGAGTGCGTGGTATGCCGGCCTCGTGTTGTTCGGCGAGTCTGGCCGGAAGAACAATGAACAAGCCACCATCCTGGACAGCCAGACAAATGGTTCCGAGTTGCAAATATGTTGTGCAGTCTCTATCATGAGATGATGAGGAGACGGGTACATGGCAGAAAGACGCTGTTTAAAGGCAAGAAATTGTAGTCGATCGACAACTAGCATTTATTGGCTATTCTAAATTTAACTTTAACCTAAAATTTAAAGCCCGTATGCCAACAATATCAATCCCTCGTTCGTGTGTATAAATGTCCATATTACCATTAGCTCTCTCGGTTCTTCTGGTATACCTTTATACTCGATATCTCCCAGTACGCTTCGCTGAATGCAGACCCGTTGTTCTGTAGGAAGTCTTCGCATGTCGGGTATCCCGTACGCACACCACAGCTGATATCCTGTCCTGGTCCAATCGTTTTGTTCCAAGTTTTATCTATCCACGAACCACTAGATGCATGTTGTAGTCATAGGCTTGATACACCCTCATTTAGACGCGTACGCACCAGAGGACGGTATCGATGACAATGGAATGATTCCGGAAGAGGTTAGAGATGTCGCAAGTAGTCGACGGCCAGCGGGCCATCGGAGTCCCCCATGTAGTATTCTTGGGGTCAGGTCTATCCGCAGTCAGGTCCTCTGGAACAGAACCACGACGAAAGAAATGTACGGCAATCTCATCGTCGTTCCAACTCACTACATATTCTTATATGAATACTACACGTCGTTCAGGGCAAAAATTGACTGACTGGCATATGTACCACCGCTGACGGAGTTGAACCCTGCATGATCAACTATTAGACTTTTATCGTAGCACGCCAGAGGTCAAGCCCTGACCGGAACCATAACTGATATTTGAAGTAGCTCTCATTGCGCATCCCTGATCGTTTGTTTCTCTGGCGGCACAGTTATTTGGCCCAATAAGCTTCGCTTCAATGCCAAGTGACTTAGGATCGTCCAGGATAGTACAGCCTTGTGCGGTGTGGATGGTCGCTTGGTTGTTCGTGATATCGCTACGCGAGTGTAATGTTAATCTACTTTCTGAATAAGTAACACCTGGCTTACTTTACTCCCTGCAAAGAAAAAATTGTTCGGGGTGTAGTCAGGAATAAAGTTGCAATTGTCTAGTCACTTACCTCAATGATGTCTATTTCGCCTGTATTAGGCCAGCTAGGACCTGTAAAATAGAAATAAACAGCCGTAGGCTTTCGGATTTATTCACTACTGCATCACCGTTTGTCCAAAAAGCGCTGCAAGAAATACTTCTGTTGGTATATGTGAAAGATACAATGCAATCAATGCGTGCTCACGGCCAAGTGCCACAGCCTTGAGGCATATGAATGGCATCGAGGACAAAAATACCCTCTTAAAGAGTTTAAGCATTCGTGCAGCGAATCACATTAGACGAGGTTTACGCACGAGTATATGTATCCAATGTAGTAATGCGTATGCTCTTTCGTTTCCCGGATATTTTCTGTGTCGTATCAACTTTGATATATGCATTGCCGGCATCGTTGACACCCGTAATATTACTTGCTTGCTGAATATTCAAGAATAAAAGGCATATGTGTTAACAAGAACACATAAACGCCTTGAGATGTACTAGTACTAACAGCTTCCGATTGACTCAAGAAGTCTACGTAACCTGTCAGGAGAGTGAGTTGGAGGAGAACTCATACATTGATTAATTGAAATAGCCTACCATGAGTAGGATCACCCTTACTCCAAAACCAGAAACCATCAAAGAAATTACTTCCAACCTGTCCAACGTCACTGCGGTTCAGTCCAAGATAACATGCAGTGACAAGTCGGCTCACATGAGAGGCAACCAGTTGGTAGGTGCCATTCCCCGATGTTGTCGGTCCCGAAGCTGGAGATCCACCCGCCGATCCCGAACCTTTCGGAGCCGAGTTTGACGCATCTTGGGAAAGGGAACATTGCTTGCTGCTGGAGCCTCGAGTATGAATTGTTGCCTTGTTGTTGGCTACACCAAGGAACAACTCTCGCCAGGTAATGCGAAAGTCCCGAACAAAGCCCTCAGCATGTCTTTTCGCATACTTGTGCAAACGGCGGGACGCGTCCGTCAATGACTGATGGGGTGCAAAAGCAAAAGATGCAGGTACTGCCTGGGCAAACAATAGAAAGTATAAAAGAGTTCTGAAGTACATAGTAAATCTGCCGGAAAAGCTTGAACTTTCGTCGAGTTAAAACAACACACTGGCCAGTCCTTCGTTAAGAGGAAATGAAGTGGAATACGGAGGCTCAGCCTCAAATGGATGGCAGTACTAGATGGAAGAGCGAGACTGAGTCTGGGAATATATAGGAAGAGATTCAACTGCGGAGCCATAGAGAAGCAGGCCGAGGGTGTGGAGACAACCGTAGTACTGCAAGGTGTTCAGATCTTGGTGTTAGAACACATTATGCAGGCCATATGCATCGCTCACAAATGTAACATGCCTAAGCATTTGTCATTCAGTAGAGCCAGGGCGCCATTCTGGACTGGAACCGTGCATTCACCTCGTATTAGATATACAGAAATATGCAAAATAATTATTCTGCCAGCCAGACGACGTCAGCCATCCGCTGCGTCGTCGAGCACAGCAGTCAACAAATGACAAACGAGTGGAGTCCATACTTATGAGTGGAAACAAATGATCAGCACAACAATGTACACCAAATAAAAAGGAGCGAAGACGTATACGCAAGAAATGGTATGAAAGAACCAAGGATAAAAACAGAGCAATAAGTCCCTACTGGTGAATGCCGCGAGCCCCACTACCGCCCGTCATGCCCACTGAAAGCGGCCCTCACACTCCTGCGCAGCTCTTCATCTGACTTCTCTAGTCCGTCGTTCCTCGGAACGGAGTGAGTTGATGGGGTCTGGCTTAAAAGGGGCATCGCCTCGGCTTCCGTTGCTTCCAAAATCTTGCGAGCGAGGACCTGTATTTCACTTGAACCATCACCCGTTTCCGTTTCTTGATATGATTGTGATTGGGAACGACGAGATCGAGAGTCCATGGACGAGGATGGTGAAGCGGAGCGCGACGCCGCCAATTCGCGAATATGAGGAAGTAGCTTGTCGGAATTTCGGATGTTCGAGATGAGTTGAGGATCTGCAATGCGGAAAAGCAATATTATTTTAGTATAATAACATTGAAGCCGGTATCGCTCTTCACTACCTTCTGACTCGAGAAGTTGAACAATTGTCCAAACAGCGATATGTTGGAACGTTGCGTCTGGACTCGTCAAGAAGCGGTAGAGATAACCGTGCATGCCGTCTTCCGGCTTATCCCAGACTTCGTTGAAGGCCGAATAGTCATCCTTATCCGTCCGACCATCTACAGCACAATAAATACGGTAAATCGAAAAACTAAAAACTAAAAAACAGAACATACCTTTGGAAGACAAATTACCCAGAGCAGCCGCGCTGTTGCCCTGAACTTCTATGCTGCTTGACTTAGTCAAAGGGATGAGGACCTTGCAAATACCCATATCAAGTAACTGCGACTTGAGCTCATCTAGTTGCCGTGTATAAGTATTATCACGCGAATTAGGGTCGGAAAGGCTTCACGCACCACTTAAGGCGAGTACAGCCACGCAAGCAGTCATTTCGCTTTGCACATTCAAGGGCGCCTCAAGAACGAGATCTTTAATCTGTTGTACAGCGCCCGCCTTGACAATCTGTCCCTTATTCTTCTCCGAGCTGGCGGCCAGATTTCTCAGCGTCGAGATAGCATGGCACTGCACTTCTTCGTTATCTTTAAATCCCAGAAGAGTAATGAGAGGGTTGAGGAAGCCAGCTTCTATGATAGGGGACTCGTTCTGCGGATGGATGGAAACATTTCGGACGCAGGCGGCGGAAGATAATATAAGCGGGAGGTACGCAGATTGAAGTAAGCGCAGCAGAGGAGGGAGGCCCTCAGCCTTCACAATTTCCAACTGGTACTTCTCTGGAGCACGTCTATTAGCCAAGAGACAAACGAAGATGCGTTGGCTCGAGCATACCATCGCTTGCAAGATTTCGCAGGGCAAGAGCAGCTTGACATTGGACTTTCAAGCTTGGACTGTCCATCAAAGAAACCAGGCTAGAGACAAGCTTCGGTTCGCTCTGAGCCAATTTCTTACGGTTGTTCCCTACAAAATACGATTAGCTATGTCATACTTTAATGTAAATCGTTACAACAGATCCACATACCATCCACAGCAATGTTACTCAACGCTGTCGTACAATAATATTGGACATCCGTGTCCGGTGAATTCAAAAGACTGACAAGCACTGGGATTGCTCCTGCATTGACCAGTTGCTGACGGTTCTCGTCTGAAATACAATTAAATAATGAGCCCGACGACCAGACAAAACAGTCCTTACCAGAGTGGGTCATATTTAAAAGCGCTCCCGTAGCATTGCGCTGCACCCGCATGTCTTTTGACCGCGCAAGGCGAGTCAGTGGAACTAGCGCACCAGACTTGGCAATCTTCGTCTTGTTGTCATCTATCCAATGTTTAGCACGAAATTAGACATTGAACGAATGCTCAACGACGCATACCATGCGTGGCGAGGTTTGTCACACAGCCTACGGCATTGCACTGAACCTCAACGTTTGGGCTCAGCATTTGCCGAATGAGGGGCTCCAGGCCGCCAAGTTTGACGATCAAAAGCTTGTTGTCCGCTGCCGCGTCACATTAAGTAAAAGGTTGGAGCCCAGTAGAAGACCTGACATACTATTAACAGCAAGATTCCCGAGTGCTGCACTTGCTGCGCGTTGAACCTCTGTGTCATGGCTGCCCAGCAGGAAAAGAATAGGGTCAAGTGTGTCCCTGCCAACAGGGCGAACCTCCTTCTCAGTTATTTCAGCGAAGGCAAGGGCCGCGCTCCGCTGCAAATCAACATTGTCCGAGAAAGATAGTGTCGTGAGGGCAGCAAGTGGTTGGCCAGTGAAGAAATTGGTGGTCGTTCGGTCTACGGCACACGGAGTAGTTTCCAATTAGGAGCGTAAAAAACACAACCACGAAAAACACCATTAGACTGTGGTTTACACGATACTGTATGTAATCAAAATACATACTCTCGAGGTATTGCAAGAGATCTGCTACCGCCTCGCGTTCATTCTCCAGTAAGAGCGGCTCGTACGCATGCGACCTGCGCGAGTGGACTAGTCATGTACCTGAAGTGAGCAGACAGGTTAAGGACTGTGCACAATGCAGAGAACGCACAGCACGAGTCACAGCAGCTACTGATTGCATTGCCCATGGCGTGAAGGGACGTGCTGCGGGATATTAGCAAGAGGAAATGCCGAACGACCAGAGGAGCTGCAGGTGGCGAAAGTGTTCACAGTTCGAGGCAAGGAGGATCGCCCAACTTGGTCATCAGATCACATAATCATCTGGTACAAAGCCGGATAAACAAAGGACCTCATCACGGACGACAGGCTAATACAGTAAGTCAATTGGCAAGAAAAACTAGTATATACAGGACATGGCATAAGCACATATGGAAAATAAATTCCTACTCCTCAGTCTTTTTACGCTTGCGCTCTTTCGTTTCTCCATCATCACCGTTCGCGGCAGCCGCCTTGGCAGCTTCCTTAGCAGCTTTCTTCTTCCGTTTCCTTTCCGCCCGCTCCTCCTCCGTTTCTTTTCGCTCTTCATCACCACCAGTACTGACTGCCATGGAAATATCCCCATCTGCATCCGGTACCCCTTCTGACTTCCGTTTACGTTTTTTCTCCTCCTTTTTCTCTTTCTTTTCTTTCTTCTCCTTTTTCTTCTCCTCAGTCACTTCGGCCGGTTTCTCGTCAGTTGTTGTCGTAGGTACGGCGGCAGGCACTGGTGCCGGAGCAAGTGTTGAAGGTCCAGCAGCCGGATCCTGCAAATTAATGGAAGTGAGCTAATGTTTGTAGTGTAGTAAAACCAACGTTACGAACGTCTCGCGTGTAGTCAACATAGTCTTTACTCCATTCCGCGGGTGTCACACCTTCAATCTTCTCTCCATGCTTGCCTAGTTTCCCTTCCTTAATCATTTTCTTCTTTTCCATTGCCTTTGGTCCCAAACCCCATCGTCGAGGGTACGTGTCTCGTTCCATGATACACCTCTTCACTTTTGCGACCACACCATGATCGCAAGTCGCGAGTTCAACTGTCGTCATTTGCGCAATTCCTAATGCAATGGCCTCGCCCTTGGTGGTCATGAGAACAACTTCTTCATTGAGAGCGATGTCATTCTCGTATCGTAGCAGACCAGGTATCATGAGCTTGGCACCATAGCAAACAGCATTCACGGCACTATCTTTCACGACTATACGCTTGTAGCCAACCAAAAGGCATTCCAACGGGCGGATGACTCGACGAAGATACGACTCTGAAACAGAAATTGCAGTCAGAAAGAAGTGCATCAGTGAGTATCGCATTTCTTACCGTCTCGAGTATTGTCGTACATCCATTGTGCATCCATAACATCGTGCATGGTAACAATGTCGTCGTTTTCACTCATGGCACCACTTCGTACACGCCGTAGCTCCTGCATGTGTCCCCCGACACCCAGTAATAGCCCGAGATGTACACATAATGTCCGGATGTACGTCCCAGCCTCACAACTAACCCAGAATACCGCTAGATTTCTCTTTTCATCAAACTCAAGAAGCTTCGACTCATATATCGTTCGAACACGGAGTTGTCGTTTGACAGCTGAAATAAGAGGAGGACGTTGGAATAGTGCACCTGTGAGCGTTTGCAAAGCTCGAGGTAGAGCTGAAGGATTTTCCAAGCCAGCATGGAGCCGTAAAACGCAAACATATTCCTTTCCTATTACACAATAGCAGTGAAAACGAGTTTAGTAAAATAAAATAAAAACAGACGAACCAGCTCCTTGCTGAGACTTTACCAGCCTCGTAGCACGGTCAATACACACAATTAAGCAGCCTGTTACTTTTGGGTCCAGAGTACCACTATGACCCGTTTTCTCAACTCTCAAAATCCGTCTGAGCCATGCGACCACTTCATGTGACGATGGGTTAGACGGCTTATCCAAGTTGATGACGCCTGACCTTGAAAATATACAAGTCAACATTAGAATCGATATGCATAAAAAAGAGAAACTGACTTGATATATGATTGTATATCCCGTTTCAATGGACTGCAGCCATGAGGAATAGGCGTGAAGTGACTGGAGCGAACCAGAAGTTTGTCATAGTTCTTTAGGAGTAATGGCCATTGAGACGTGTCGAGTTTCGGAGTAGACTCTTCTGACTTGATGGAGTAGTCCCCATCAAGCTGAGCCGACGCAACTTGGCCGCGAGTGAGCTCCTTCGACATGAATGACACTGGGTGAAGAAACCACGAATCCAAGTGTGGTCCAATTTCTCCACAGAATTTTTGCACAGGCTCAGTTTGATTCGTCTTCCACGTGAGGTCTGCCGATCCATAGTGGCAGTGCTCCATCAGACTCGTGAGCACATCAGTCCATATCCAGTGAGTGACGTAAACTATACAGCAGGCCGAAACGCTACGATATTCTAACTTTCCGTGCTGCAGATGAAATGAGCACGCTCAATACTCGTCCCGTCAAGTCCGTCAAGATGGTCAGTGTGTCTGGAACTGCTTTGCTGAGTTCTCTTCTCAGTAGGCTAACTACACACTGCGTTTCCATTCTATAGCCGAAGGTTACCAGCAAATCTGCCACAAAGTCTGGTGGTGTAAAGCACAAATTCTTCATCGACTTCTCCAAGCCCGCCAACGACGGTGTTTTCGACGGCAGCGACTTTGACAAGTTCCTCCATGACAAGTTCAAAGTTGATAACAAGCCTGGAAATCTAGGGGAGAATGTACAAATTTCAAAAGAGGGTGTGTCTTTCAGAACGAAGCTTTTTTGAACTTGCAAGTAAATCATCTATTGCTCGTTTGATATAGGCAACAGGATCGTAGTGTCCGCCAAAACCGCTATTTCTAAGCGATACCTCAAATACCTTACCAAGAAGTTCTTGAAGAAGAAAGAGCTTCGTGACTGGATTCGGTATGATTGCTTTACCTGGCTTGCCTTATGCGACTTTCTAATGTTTTGCAGAGTCATCGCTTCTTCCAAGGACGGTTATGAGCTTCGGTTCTATAATATTGCGTACGTACAAGATAATCCCCAAGAAGGCCAATACTGACGGATTGAATTTGTACAGTAAGGACGAAGACGAAGAAGAGGAGGATTGATGTATGTCCTCTAACGATAATTTACGGGGATGTCGAGTGTTGCTTCTGGGATTTAAGCATACCTCCAAAAGTGCATGTCACCTCTTTGCGCACGCGGAAATGTGATATATTTCCAGCCGTTGTATTTTATCTAAGTACAACATGTCGTTTATATGCTTATTATGGTGCATGGCAATGATAAATATTGATCGTCGTTGTCTACTCGCTCATTGGATTGTGATACTGTTGTTTGCGTCTTTCCGTGCTGAGTTACTCTCCGTCTTCGCTAATAGACGGATCGCCAACTCGTTCCACTTCATCTGGCGTTCTGTCAACTCCTTTCCCCGAAACTGAGTCACCAAGTTGTTTGCGAGGTTTGCACGAAGGCACTTCAAAGCAACACTTCCTTTCGGCGTTAGGCGATATCGAATTTTACGGTCTATGATTACGCTATCGGCGATGAGCTGCAAGAAATGACATACTCAGTGCATTGCTTCGTCTAGAAATCAAATTCTACTGACCTTGAATTCGCAGTCACCACAGAGAAGCACAATTGCTAGGTCGTCTACTGGTCCGGTTTCCCAAACATACATTCTCTTTGATTGCCTAGAAATTGAGTCACAGTCAGACGAGAATTGTTTCGGGAAAGCACCAGCGCAGCCAGGCCCATACATTATTGTGAAATAGCTCAAGTAGTTTACTCCGAAGTCTTGAGGACGTGTCCTAAAATTGACCGAAGAGGGATGGAACGCAACTGGTTGATTGTTGCTCAAAGTATGCAGCTGCTGGCGGCCTCCTGAGTTGTAGAGAGTCAACAGTTTTGGATACAGCCCAGCAGCAAGAGCGGCATTTAAGAGAGCCATGTTTTCGTCACTGTTTCGATCATACTCGATAGGAACAGGTACAAAGTGAGTTCGGTTACCCCTCGTATTCCGTGAACTGGTGTGTGGACTTAAAAAAAGTTCATGGTAACATCATAGAAGTAACCTCACCGGCTTAATTCACGGACGAATTCCTTGCCAACCTTGATGAACGAAGCGTCTACAAGGTATCTGCAGCGGCATTAGAAGATGTAATAATAAGCACTCATTCACTCGCTCCTCACCCCATGAATTGCTGACGCAATTCTTCAATTTGCTGCAGGTTCTGTCCAACACCAACCAATAAACACCTGAATCGAAAGGAGATGGCTTCTCGTCGCTTACTTGTTGACTAAGGAAGTTCTGTCGACAGAACTTGCGAATAAAACCCGGATTAGCTGATGCTTTCCGCCAGCTTGCAAAAGCATTGTGCAGAGTCAAGAAATCTGAGTCCCCTAAGTCGCATGCAAGACGTTAAGCATGAACTTGAGACAACAAACTTGAAATACAAACCTGTCATGAACTTCTTCTTAGCTCTATCTGCTTCTTGTTCGAGACCAAATGGTGTGACGAAGGGGGATTTTGAGTTCAAAGTAGCCGCAATCGTGAGTGCAGGATCAAGGCAGCGGAATGATGCGGCAATTAGCATGAATTTTCCGAGGTGTACGTCTGTAGGCAGCTTGCTCAGAAGGCGGCCCATGGACGTTATATCCTCTGTTGTTGTAAGCGCTCCAACCTCTATCAGGGCATTCTTGGCACGCTGAATGTTGATTGACGAAGGAGGGTCCAGACAATCTTGCGGGCGATAAATAAACCGTAAGCATCCCTAATCAGAACAGACAACAGAGCTAACACACTGGAAAGGACGTCTTCGATCGAGGACCCGAGATTGACCTTTAGGATTTTGATCCGAAGAGCCAGATCAGATAGACTAGCCAGAAAATTGAGGTTAGTCATAGACAAACTTTACAAGGCATCACGCACCTAAGCCGCAGCATCTCAGGTAACGGATGTTCTGCCATCTGCAGTCGTTCGTCAGCAAACAATTGTACATGCTCAAAAGTGGAACACAAGGAGCTTACCGACTCATGCCTTGCCTTTGAGAACAAATGGAAACATAATCCAGACCGTACTCGACCTGCACGGCCGCGCCGTTGTGCTGCATTGCTTCGAGCAATGAACGTTTCAATAAGCCGGCTAATCTGGCGTTTCTCATCGAATCTTAGCACAAGAATAGCATTAATATTGAGTAAAACATCTTTGGGATTCGCATATACCTCATTTCACGGTGTTTTCCCGAATCTATTACACAAGTAATATCCGGAATGGTTACCTATCGTAAATCATAATGTAAGCTAAGTGTTGTGCATTGAAGCGTTTGATGAGACGCACCCCAGTCTCTGCAATGTTAGTCGCTGTTATGTATCAGTACAAAGCTGCTAATGCGAGGTGCTAGTGTTCACACCGATTACAATTTTCCGGATGCCCGGTGGAGGAATATCGAATACCAAGCTTTGATCCTCACTTGAAATTGTAGAATGCAGTGGGAAAACCTGGAATTTGTCTGAGCCAAAAAGTGGATGCTCTGAGAGTATGTCATTGAGACGACGAATTTCCCCAAGCCCGGGCATAAAAACTAGGAATGCCGGAGACATGTCCAAGAGGATGGGGTCACTGCATACTCTTTCCAATATGCAAACGATCAAATCATAAGGAATCTGCCTCTCGTCTAGAAGATTCATTGTTGAAACAGTGCTTTTTGAATAACCGGGCCCTTTTAATGTCACTGTTCCCGGAATGGCATCCTGGTCGTCTGCGTCTTCGGCGTTGTCCGCAATATCTTCTGACCATTCAGTCTTGTTACGATTAAACCTGTCATTAACTAAGAGGTGATAAGGAGGGTTTCCCGTCAGATTACCATAACCAACTTGAAGAACCTACATCTCTTCGCATATAGAGACGTGTCCGAAATTGACCACTGCGTATATTCCAGAGCATCCTCCAAGAACCGAATATCAACTGGGAATGTACGTCCAGGCACTTGGATCGTTGGACATCCACCAAAATAATTAGAAATCTTTTCAGCATCCAGCGTCGCGGACATGAGAATGACTCTATGATCAACATTAAAAGCGGTAAAATATGGCCAAATGTTATACTCACTTCAAGTCTCGTCGCTCTTGAAGAAGAGACTTAAGGACAATTAACAGGAAGTCTGAGTCAATGCTTCGCTCGTGCACCTGTAGGCGTATCGTCAAAACGAAACATCCTAATGGTCAGATGAATTGTTGTACCTCATCAACGACGATATGCTTTCGGATCTTATTAGCACCATCTTACAAAGTTATGCAAGAGTGGACAAACCGTAACATCATCGAATGCCGTGCCTTTACCATCACTGCTGCTCCCTCCTTCGAGCATTCTTAGAGCAATTCCATTTGTAACGAAATTTAGTCGCGTGTTCTTTGAAGTCTGGCTTTCAAGTCTAATAGTGTAGCCGACAAGAGAGGTGCTTGTCCCCACGGCTCCGGGGGAATCACCTAGCTCTCTGGACACCCGTTGCGCCAAAGAGATAGCGGAAATCCGGCGGGGTTCCGTCACTGCAAATCTGATCAAAAGAGGTTCAGATTCTATAAGAAAAAGCGACTTACCGACGATTTTGCAGTGTCGGCCATTGGATAAGTGGTCCTCGAGGATGAAACTTGGCAGCTGGGTAGATTTTCCACTATCAAAAGGAGGTAAGCGGTCTTGTAAGGTGCCCCGTTCGTTCGTTTACATACCACCCTGTTTCACCACTCAGGACAATGACGGGAGACATTTCCAGCATTTCTATAACCGTTTTTCTATAAGATGCGATTGGAAGTGCGTTACGTTGTTTCTGGATTAATTCAACCGTTAGGAATGACGAAGTGAGAATTGATCATTTCCACTGACCAACATCTCTTGGTAAGGTCGACTTGATTGGCGCGCGCGGAACTCTGCCTTTAGCTGTTCTTCGGAAAGGCGGAGTGCAGTACGCTCCTTTGAGTATGAATTCTCTTTCGGTAGAGGAGCTTTCACAGCCTTGTCCTCTCCCTAAAACTGACCTTAGCGTAATGTAACAAAAAAATTGATGTGAAGGAGACCTACTTTTTTAGGTGCGAACCATCTCTGATCCAAAATCGCAGTCAGAGATTCCCATACATTTCTGTTCGATCGATCCTCGTTTTCTTTACACTTCACCTCAAGCTCATTCCATAACTCTCTAAATGTGGGTGGTAGATGCCTATATGACGTCTGCGTGCCTTTCGGATCCCCAACAGAGATTCGGAAACCATCGCTACCTGGGTACGTGAGGGAGTGCAGAGCGACAGTAGCAATGTAATGCTCCGCTTGTACAAGGTCATAACATGCCACATCTTCCATCGCCCATTGGCTGGTCCGACCGCCAGTCCGTTGTACATGTACTGACGACCTCTTCGCTCTGCTGCTCCCCGACAAATCAGTGTATGTAACAACTGTGTGACGATCCGACTTTGTGATGAAATCCAGGAGCAACGACTTTGGTGTTCGACCCGCCCAGTATTTAGGCAATGCCATATCCCTTACAACGACCGTAGTACCCGCAGCGGTGGTTTCCGTGGTCGGCATCGGTTCTAGGAGCTCAAACATTCCACCAGGTGAATCCTCGTCCCCTGAATTTTCGAATATGTCGTCAGTCAGACCAACTTCTTTAGGAGTCGCTTCCGTTTCAACATCCTCCTTCGCAGGTCTGGGTGGGGCAGGACTAGGGACGGTCTCTCCACGAAGACGTGCAAGCAGTTTTGCTTCATCTGCCTCGCGCCGTTTTTCCCGAAACATCGCTTCCGCTTCCTTTTCACTGAAGAAGTAATCTTTTTTGACGCTCTCGAGGCGGGCCTGAAGTTTCCTAAGAAACTCGTTGCTCGTAGTTTCTTCGCTGCGTCTTCGGCTACCCGTCAGGTCGGTGATGCGCAATTTCAACCGAGCATACTCTATATTAGGATCGTCAATGTCCGACCCCTCATCTGACCCGAAGTCGTCGACGCGTTCACCAGGCTTGAGAGCATTGAACGATGCTGTGACATTGCTTCCACTGTTTAAAGAAGGAGATGGTAGAGGTGCCACCCTAGTTTGTTCTTGTGGTGTACCAGGCGAAGTTGACGTATCTGGAGTCTGAGGCGTGAGAAGCGTATCCTCAGAGGGACCGTCCAAGCGCCTTTGAAGATCTAGCTCATCAGTGGAACAATGTGCGTAAATCTAGAGGGAGCATTGGTCAAGATCCTGTCACAATCTATCATGGCTCGGAATACCTACCCAGTCAAGAGCCTGCTCAAGTTCAACGCCTGACGATTCTCTCAGACACTTCAATACTAATTCCTCGGAAAAGCCGAGACGTCGCAGGACTCCGTATGTAATGCCTATCTGACTAGTAAGTTTGTCGCGAGGCATGTCGGGAAGCTTTAGTTTGTCTTCAAAATCTTTAAGTCAGAATAAGACATTCCATGTCTAAAGATTTACCTTGAGAATACCCTGCAGCGATTAATTCGATGACCTCGTCCACAACGGTCTGGTCGACGTCCAGTAGCGGAAAGGTCTTAGCCATCCGCTTGTCATAATCTATCGACTACACAATGCAGTAAAATGAATACGGGCACAAAGTATATGTATTTAAGAAATACCTTCAGGGTACGTGTAATCTCTTTCTCAGTCTTTTCCTGGAATTTGTCAACCAAGCGTTGCAAGACCGCCACATTCTCGTCTTGTGCGGACACCGAGGGTATTGCGTCAGATTTTTCAACATTCTCCTCACGAGTATCTGGAGCTTCGGCCGATTCTTCCGCTGGCGGAGCAGCAGTGGGTGCCTTCTTCGGAATAGATGTCGTAGCATAACTATCGCGGTCGTAAGCAGGATTGCAATAGCTTCAGAGATGCGCGGTAGCATACCCGCGCTCGACCTTTTTTATTTGCGTTTTCTTCTTTTTAGGCGCCATTTTTGTCAGAAAAGATTAGAATAGTAAAATGTCCTTTGTAGTCTTTGTTCTGTCTGTCGGTGGTAGTCCGGAACTCGTAGGTTTATTCAATTTAGCGTAGTGAACAATACGGCAGCCTTTGCGAAGTTGAACCAATGTCGTTGACGCAAGCAGGCAGATTCGATTGACGCGACCGTTTAGAGCGAACTTGAACGGCGGACGATGATATCTGAAGCATGAGCTTGAAGGACAGATCGATGAGGTGTTGATATCACTTGATAGTAGTGCAAAGTCTGTGCGAGAAGACATATGCGCGTTCAGTTTTGTCGATCACCGCGTCATTCTGACTCGTGACATATTTTGACCAACCAAGAAAGAAAAGCAACAACAGATCTGAACCAAGCCAAGGAACGCAAAAACGGAGCAGAGTTTAGAAAATCCAAGCTACGCGAATTACAGAACATCTATATCACTAGGAACATTCTACAGACGAGGGCCGAAACAGGAAAAACAAATAGCTTATGCGAACAAACAGACATAACAATGCAAGTGAGAAATAACCAATTCCGTACCGTACAAAATAGTCCGTCAAAGTCCACTAGAAGTCGTCTTGTATCGACTCTCCAGCTGGTTTCCTCTTGTATCCCCTCTTTGGACCAGGCTTATTACGCCCACGCGTGCCAGTGCCTGGTCCTTTTCGCTTCTTCCCACGTGTACTTGTTGGGCCTGGTGTCCCATTCTCCTCGTCACCATACTCCGTGATCCCCATCTCATTATTATTAGGACCACTGTTACTAAAGAAGTCATCCTCTTCATCCACCATGAGTGCACGAGCAGCTTGAGAAGCCGCGTCGCCAGCCCGACTGTCGGCTTTCCGTACTGAACCATCCGCGTCAGCCTTATCCAAGTTAGCCAGCTCGTCGTCGTTGAGGAGTAGTGAAACAATCTCCTTCGGCTTCGTGACGTCGGTGAATTGCTTGTTCCCAACAACGATATCTTGGACCTAAGTGAAGAAGACGGATTATTACACATGCAGGACAAGTTATCACAGAGAAGTTGGCACGCACATCTTTCTTAACACGAGCAAGCTGCACTATCCGCTCATCAATTGTGCCCTTCGTGATAAGTCTGTAAACGGTGACTTGTCTTGTCTGTCCGAGACGGTGAGCTCGATCCATAGCTTGGGCGTCGTTCGAAGGATTCCAATCATGATCATAAAATATGACAGTGTCGGCAGCTGTAAGGTTAATACCGAGACCACCAGCTCTTGTACTTAGTATGAAAACGAAGTACTCAGGTCTAAACGTCCAGTACCTATCAGTATTTGCCCGTAACTCTCACAAACTCAAACTTACTTCGTTTGCCAATCCATAACTAGGTCACGACGGTCCTCCATCTTCGAACCACCATCCAGACGCAGATACTTGTATTGCCGATAAATAAGGTATTCCTCCATAAGGTCCATCATCCTCGTCATCTGGAAATAAATTAAGACACGATGGTCTCCAGCCTTAAGCTCATGAAGCAATTCGTCCAACCGCGCCAGCTTGGCAGAATCTATAATTAGACGTTTCGCTTCTGGAACCTGCATATAGGACAAGGGCAGTTGATCCGATGGGGAGTTGCCCAAGACGCCATTAAGCGGAACACCAGGGAGCTTCTGCTCGAATGCGTCACAAGCTGGCTTGATTTCTCGGATTTCTGGTGGTAATCCGAAGAGAATTAAGGACTCCTCGGGTGCATCAAGAAGCTGGCTCTGTCGTTCAATGAAGTTGCGATCCGAGGAGTACATAGATATGTGTGGCGCAATAACCGGTGGGACGAACCATCGAAGGGATGGTCGTGACAGACAGGATATAGACCAGCTGTCTCGGGTGACTTCGTGCAGAGGAGGAAGTCCATCTGCAACATCAAGGTGTCGCATGGAATAACGCGCTGGGATTCGATATCGATCACGCGAAGCATCACAAGCATCGAAATGAGGATCCCTGTAATTACGAGGTGAGCAACGAGATGAAGCAACATATGAATCAGTAGCTTCTTACAACCGATACAAATCCTCTTCAATGCACTTATTCTCGACATCGGCTGCGACGGTAAGCCGTCGCAATTCCGGTGAGAAGTGCAAGGAGTGAGCCTCGCCTGGAGTCATACCAAGAATAGGGACGAAATTGAAGGGTGAACAGACTTGTATAGATTGATCAGCCAGTTGATCATTCCACTAATTGTGAGTGTCTCTTACCATTTTCTTCAATAGATCGTTGTACCCAATCAGTCGCCCATATGCTCAGTAGGTTTCTCAACACCCCACGTTCCGGCCTAGCAGGTGCATCCTCGCGTGGTACTGACAGCAAGCCACCATCAAGGTAGAAAAGCTGTGGAATCGAGTAATCAATGGGACTACGCGTCGAGTAGTGGCACGTAACAAAGTTGCCCTCGCGTGCTATCGATGCAGGTCTACCATACTCCGAGAAAGAAAATGGTGCAACAACATCAGCGCGTTCGAAGAGCTCGGGATGGTTACAAACTTTGCGGAATTGCATCACAAGGTTCATAAGAGTGCGCGCTGCGTCTGCATCACCAATGTGCGATGCCTTCTCGATGAGTTCCGCAACGGAGATGTTTGCCCTAAGAGCTTTGTACAAGGCCCTCTGCCGTGGGCTGAGATTGACATAGATATCGAGTTCAATCTACGAAAAAGAAATTTAGCATGAATTCCATAGACAAATTACCGACAATACCTTCTCTCCGAGTTCGTTTTGAACATGGCGCTTAACACGACGCAACATGAACGGCTTCAAAATCATATGCAACCGGCGAAGTTGACGTTCATTCATTCTGCTTCCTCCCTTCCCTTCGGCGGCTGCGTTCTCGATGTCTTTCGAGAACCACTCATTGAACTCGTCGTGGGAGTCGAACAAACTTGGCATGATGAAGTGCAGTAGAGCCCAGAGCTCTGAAGAAAGACGATCAGACAACGTACTCGACCTGGTTCGAACAAACTAACCTTGCATGTTATTCTGGATAGGCGTACCCGTTAGGAGCAGGCGATTTCTGCACTGAAGACCAAGAAGAGTTTTCCAACGTGCACTTGACGAGTTCTTGATGTTCTGCGCCTCATCTAAGATCATGTATTGCCATTTGATGCGCTGAAAGTACTGGGCATCTTGAATGATCTACGAAACTCATGTCAGCAACCGCCGCTCCTAGGGTAGAACCTTATCCATCATACCAGATTATAACTTGTCACCAGAACATGGAACGGTGCATCCTTGTTGTAGCTGATATTCTTCTTGCTCCAAAACTTTCGGAAGAGTGACCGTTGCTTCACGGTGCCCCAATATGGGAGGCACGTAATCGACGGTACGAACCTTGCCAATTCTTGTTGCCAGTTATGCAGAGTAGAAGACGGCGCAACGACAAGGAATGGTCCCCAAATATCATGGACCTCGGACAAATAAGCTAGGAGAGCGATTGATTGAACGGTCTGAAGGAGAGGTTGGTCAGCTAAGTTGGTTGCTGAACCTCAGTTGCTTACCTTTCCCAGTCCCATTTCATCGGCCAATATACCATTGATACCCTGTTCGTAGAGTGTACCAAGCCAATTCAGGCCCTTGAGTTGGTACTCTTTGAGAGCTGTCTGTAGCATCTTCGGTTGCTGGATAGTCAATGGACCAGACAAAGAGGTCGGATTTTGGAAGTTAAGCTCATCCGAATCAACTACAAAAGGCACTCTATAATTACATCAAGAAATTGAGCAACTTGAGGAAATACGTACAATCGACAGTGGCTCCGGGTGCTTTGTTCGCACCCTCTTCTTCTTCCTCATCGTCTCGTAAGTGTGCTTGCGCCTTAGCAAGAGCAAGCGCCTCATTTGTCTTTCGCTCGAGCGCGGCATCTGTATCAAACTGAACAGCACGGGCTTTTGCAAGAGCAATTGCTTCTTTGGCGTTCTTTCGTGCATGCGCAAGAAGGTTGGTTTCGTCCTCGTCGTCGAAGTTAATATCCAGCGATGTCGGGTCGATATCAGGCCCTTCTGCACCTTGTGGTACCTCCGTACCTTCTTCACTCTCGCCCTCGCCCTCACCCTCGATCTCAGAAGCTAAAAATAATAGGACATCAGAAGAAACACTAAATAGGAACAAACTATAACGAACTTTTCAGCTTGCTTCCAACGAAGTGAGAGTAGAGTTCAGTCTGGCTGATCAAGAACTCCAGTTTCCTAGCTTGACGAGTTGCCTCACGCCTCTCCTCTTCCTCCTTCGCCCTATTATCCGCTTCCTTTTCCGCCCGCTTCCTCAGGTCACGTTCCTCCTTTTCGTTCTTCTTCCAGAAGACCATCATTTCACGCATGAGACGTTTCGCCCTGGTCTGTGCTTCCTTAGCGGATTTCACTGTTCGAGCGGATACTCGCTTCGCCTGAGTAGAGCAAAGCGTTGCAGTTCGTTTTAACTGCGTCTGACGCGTTAGGTACCCGGCGAGATGATGTTTATACACCTTCGCGACGTCCCTGCGAGCGATGTTCAGCCAGACTTTCCTCTGGGCTTCCTCCAAACCCATTATTCGTTTGTACATGATCTGATCGTCCACTTTCTTCGCTCGCTTCATTGGAGGTGGTACATCACCCAGTTCATAAATTAACGCTGCGGAACTGGATGGTGAGGGTGGGGCGGATGGTACAGGAGTTATATCTCCTGCCACGGAGGCAGCAGCAGAGTCCGGACCAAGTTCGTGACCAAGAAGTGATAAAGGATCCCCTTTCCTTCTAGCAGGTTTTCTCTTGGCTTTTGCCTGGCTAACATCACTACCAGCTCCTGAAGGGACCGGTGTTGCTCTGCCTTTTCCTTTCCCTTTGCCTGGGTATACTCTACTACCCATAGCTGTAGATATCGATTGCGGATCATCGCCTGCAATTGAACGTTCTAAGTCGTCCATAAGGTCATCGTCCATGTCTAACCTTCGTCTCTTTGGAGGAAATGTCATCCCGTTTCGTTCATCGCCACTGTCATCCGAAATAGCTATCGCGGCGTCACGCTTCCTCCCGTCGTAATGCCTGAGCTTGATTGTAGAAGGACCAGGGCCGAGGATGGATTCCTCAAGCTCTCTGGCAGCGTCTTCGTTTTCTGCGTTGTAGTTAACTTGTCCGGAATAGAACCCTGGACCAGAGTGATCGAACTCTAGCCCGAGTCCATTTTCGTCACGAAAATCCGGCGATGGCGTTCGAACCAATGGATTTTCTGCTCCGTACTGCTGCGGCACCATGTAAAGCCGTCGCGGCACAGCATCGGGTATCCGTGCAACGCGAGCAGAATATTTGTTGGACATTGTCCGTGCTATGTCATTGTTGCGAGCCTGTATGCAGAAGAAAGTCAGATATCATATGCACCATATATACTGATCCTTGCGTCTTACCACACAACTGTCTTCAAACCACAACTCCACTTGACGTTGCCTCTTCTGGGTCTCTAAATAATAATGGCTCATTTCTTGAATCCAAACCTCCTCACAATCGCTCAGATCAGAAGATGCGAGCCTATAGTCTTCTTCCGTGGGCTCTGGAAGTGGCATTTCAACTGGAGGAGTAGGTGCCTGGGAACGTGCAAGTCGTCGAGAGGACCGGCGCTTTAAAGAAAAAGACGTTAGACAGAACTCGTATGTCGTATACCATGCAACGTACTGGTCGAACAGAATAACCATTCTGCTGAGGAAGCGCATCGTATGATGACTGAGAGTCAATCACTGGCTTTTTCTTCTTCCGATTCGACTCTTCCATGTTGTTCTCCTCTTCCCTGTAAGCAACGGAGCGCTGACGGCTCGTCCGACCGGACTGCTGAAGATGCTCCTGGTTCTGGTAAGCCATGTCTGCTGGGTCAGGACCGTGCACGGCGCTGCCATTCGTCCACTCAGCAGGATGATGGGTGTACGTTTGTTGGTAATCCGAGGCTTCGTGGGCGTCATAACCGTCTGATTCGCGAATTCGTTCCTTGGGATGTGGCGGAGCACCCTCCAGCGCTGGCCCGCGCGGTAGCGAAGGCGATACGCGTTTTGAAGAGGTGCTGCCTTGACCGCTATAACTCCAGTCATATTCCCGATCGCCACGTTCGTCCGTATCCAATTCTTTCTCTGCGTTCCGCGAGCGCGACTTCTCTCGGCGGTTCGGCCCCGTCGAAAGCGGCGGCGGTGAGCGACGATACGTGTCCGAGAACGGTGGCTCGGTCTGACGGGCATTTACAGGTGCCACTGCATTGACGGGTTGTATGGGGTCGACGGGCTCATCATTGAGGATACGACTGAGCGACATTGTCAGGAACGCGCGCTGGCGCGGCTGACCTGGAGCGCAAAGTTATCGGACAGGTTTTTTGCGGCGACGAGGGGAGATTGGGGGACAGTGATGCGTGGGACAGAGGACAGCGGGAGTTAATGAAAATGTTATATGATGTTTGGTCTGGCCTTGTTCACCGACGAGATCGCCACCTGGAAGCTATTTTGCTCGATTTAGCAATTGACGTGGGCGGAGGCGCGACGGATGGCGGGAGGGGCGGGAACGACGAGAGCGAGGATGTGGAGGCAGATAACTGGGGCGTCTCGAGACGAGTTCATTCATCAGCCGTAGTCATCTCTCGACGGCCCATTTTGGTTTACACTCGAACATCTCTCAGTCCACGCTTCCTTCCAACGTCAGCTCCATTCGTTTCTTTTTTTTTCTTCGCTCTCTTTCTCTTCTTTGCACGGCAGCACGGCACTCGCATGCTCACGATGCCCGACATTACTCATTGTTGCAGCGACTAGAATTGTAATAAAGCGAATGACTGGCGTGACGCGTGTAACTCAGGCTTATGATATGCCGTGCCCACTTTTTCACGATTCGAACAAGCCTGGCGAGTTCCGTATTTGGTCAATTCATGTTTCGGTTACGTGAGAACAAACTTCCATATCAGGACAGCCTCACAATAGGGAGCCTTGCGATCACTGTTGCCTTCCCTTTTATAGCTACTTTTCACATGCCGAAGTCTACTTGTGTGCTGCACTGTAAACTACCCTAATACTACACTTGAGCTACTCCTATGCTTCGTCGGGGTACAACATCAGCTCTGGTCGCACTTTGGCATCAAATTCCTCGGGCTTCAGGAAGCCAAGCGCAACAGTCGCTTCTTTCAGTGTCGTTCCCTCTTTGTGAGCCTTCTTTGCGCACTTTGCAACGTCTTAATTGAGAAATCGCTCCATCAGTATCGCGCTGGGTCAGCTTCGAGTGGCTGGGATACGTACTGTCATAACCCAGATGGCTGTTCAAAATCGTAGCAAGCATCAGTGATTCATTGAGCAGTTGGTTAATCCGCTTTTCGTTGGCCTTGATGCCCACAACGCAGTGGCTTGTGAACGATCGAGCCCCTGCAAAATGTTGTAAGTAAAAGCGTCATTGACTTTCCCTGCACACGTACCGTCCGCGAGCAAACGAATGCTCTGTAATACGTTCTTGATGATCACCGGCTTGAAGACATTTAACTATACGCGGCCCACGTGGCGCAATCAGATAACATCATCAAGTATTGTCAATGTGAATTGCGTCACCTCGAAGTGTCCGTTCGATCCAGCAACGCTGACGGTCGTCTGGTTCCCCATCACTTGGGCGGCGACCATCGTCAAGGCCTCACATTGAGTGGGGTTCACCTTGCCTGGCATGATACTGCTTCCGGGCTCATTTTCTGGCAAGCTCAGTTCACCAAGTCCACAGCGCGGACCGGAGCCGAGGAAACGGATGTCGTTCGCAATCTTCATGAACGAGACTGCGACAACATTGAGGGCGCCATGGGCTTCAACCAATGCATCGTGAGCCGCGAGGGCCTCAAACTATCGAGCACATTATCAGCAAGCAGCTTCAATGTACAATTCAAAACTCTAACTTTGTTCGGTGCTGTCTTGAATTCGAGGCCTGTGAGCTTAGAGATTTCCGCGGCTATTTTAACATCGAAGCCTTTTTTGGTGTTTAGACCCTGCGTGCGTCGAGGAAGTTAGCAAGTGGCATGCGTGAGGCAAATGCAATACTTACAGTGCCGACCGCTGTACCGCCTTGTGCCAAGAGACTCAGCCGGGGTAGAACACCCTTGACGCGTTCGATAGCATTTGTCAGCTGTTGAACGTAACCACTGAATTCTTGGCCCAAGGTAAGTGGGGTAGCATCCTGCAATCTGATTAGGGTCTGCAAGAGAATACTGCATACAGTACGCAAACCTGTAAATGCGTTCTGCCGATTTTAATTATCTTGTCAAACTCTTGACGTTTTGCCTCCATAGCATCTCGGAGTTCGGTCAAAGCAGGTAACAGAGAGTTGCTTATTTCCATGACAGCGGCAACGTGCATAGCGGTCGGGAAGCTTGGGACAAGTACCTAAATTCAGCTCCTTATTATCTCATTGAAACAACGAACTCTTACGTGTCGTTCGAGCTCTGGCTCATATTAACATGGTCGTTGGGATGCACAGGCTTCTTTGATCCAAGTTCGCCGCCAAGTAACTCAATTGCACGATTTGAGATAACTTCATTTGTGTTCATATTGCTTTGAGTGCCACTACCAGTTTGGAAGACAACAAGCGGGAAGTGGTCGATAAGCTTGCCGGCAATGACCTTAACGGATACATTAGTATTTTGAATATGGAGCATCCCAGGGCTGAGCAAACCTCATCTGCCGCCTTCTGAATAGCCTCTCCGACCTTTGGGTCCAGCCCATAAGTTGTATTCACAATTGCGGCCGCCTTCTTCAATACCCCGAATGCTTTAATGAGTGGCGGGGGTAGACGCTCTGTGGGTCCACCGATATCGAAGTTTTGCAGTGACCTATGAACAGGTTCTAGTTAAACTGGTCCTTGGATTCAGACCCTGCCAGTCAAGTACCTTTGGGTCTGAGCGCCCCAGTAACGATCTGCAGGCACCTGGAGTTCGCCGAAGGTGTCGCGTTCTGTCCTGTATTGAGTCTGCGTGCAACGTGTCAGTATGAAGGTTTGCTAAATGGCCCAACTTGTGCTCACCATGGTGCGGTAAGATGTAGAGAACAATCGCTTTGGTAATGCTTGTCTTGTGGAGAGGTGGCGGAGCTACCGAATTCAGTGCAGATCGATACATTTATCACATGAACCCCATCGAGCTACTTACATTCTGGCCATATGACGTAGGCACGCGTAAACGCAAAGCGGTGCGATACATGCTGAAAATTCGAGGTGGAATTAAGGATAATAAGGAGAAATTAAGTCTATAGGGAGAGATAGAAAAGGTGCAGGATAGCAGGGTATGAGAGCAGCGGTGACGACAGTCAAATAAGTCTTCAAAAAATCGAGCTGTGAACCTTGTCAATCGGGTCTTCTCGGAGTCCCACCATACACGCTTGGACGCAAAGTTGAGTCCGACGCTGACAACAGATCCGCGCTATTGGACGCTGGTGAAATTAACCAATAATATTTCGGATTTTCAAGCGTTACGGCAACGCGGTCGGGAACACACCAGTGAGCGCGGCAACTCAATGCATGTCTACCGAGGAGTCTAGGTGGTCCTTTCACGCGTACGGGCGTACCTCCGCACGTGAATTGTACTTGGTGATGCATTTACCCGGTCGTGTTAGCTTTCCCTCGTACCTCATCCTGTTCTTGTCCGCAACAGTCATGACCACCATAGCGTCGCAGGTCATCCTCCACCCAACGGCGTCTCAGAGCCTCAATTTACTCGCGACCACTATTGGACGTGACAAGGTTTGAGTCGAATTCATGTTGCATCCATCGTTCAACGCGACTCTGACGCGTTCTGCTAGCTTTACCGAGCTCTTCAGTACTTTGCACGCTTTTGGGCATGGGCTCTCATTGCGAAGGGCTATAATTCAGAGGCGGAGAGATGGAATGCGCTCAAATCACACCTTGCAACTGGCCGAAAGCGTGCGTAGCAATGTACTCTTATTGGACTTCTTTTATTGAACTAAGATTAGTGCTTCGTCTTGGAAAGCCATTGGAACATCTTCAAGCAGCACTGAGAGCAGCCAGTTCCTTCACGCGTCCTGGCGAGCAGATCACTACAATCCTCCGACAGCTATGCTACGCCGGATACCTTATTTACGATGCTGCAGTTTGGGTATGCTAAGAAACACTTCAAGACGTTCATTCTTTGATAAGAACGACACATAGGCAAACGCAGCTAAATTTGTTACTTTGTCAAAAGAAGCAAACCAGAAAGCAGTTAGAAGGCAAGTGTCGAAGTAAAAATATGAAAATAAAAGAACGGCTAATAGTGATTTTTCTGCAGATCAAACCGCCTATGGTTCTTCGGGATTGTATTCAGTATTTGCCACGGACTCCTGAAGGTGTGCTGTTTCATCAAGAGCGGCTAAGAAATTCAAACTTAACGGTTTATCTAGGCCGGAAGGTTGGCTAATGAAGCAAAGGGTCTCCGCGGTTACACATGGGGTGATAAATCAGTCAGCACCGAAGCCGAACGTGCCGTCAAATACACCGCTGTTGAAAAGTGAGCAACAAAGACAACGTGCCCTTGATGTGTGAATCTGACTGATGCGCCATTCAGGGAGCGAAAGGTGATGCGCTCTCAGTTTGTCATTGACCTCCTAGATGTTTGGATCCCTGCAACCAATCTCGGCTATGTCAATCTCAATGACGGTGTTCTTGGCCTGTTTGGGTATGTGCTCTGACACTTGTTTGCTTGCCTCTGGTTGACGTTCCGGCTTAGTTTCATCACTTCCGTCATGGCCCTTCGAACACAGTGGGCAGCGGCGGCTAACAAGGTTAAGGCTTGAGATCAATCAAGTCGGTCCATTGCTATGTAGCCTTTTCTGCACATATTCGGATAGTTGCAAATTCTATAATTGCTTTAGAAATATAAAGCTGGCATTGATGAGTGGAAGTATGAGCCAACTACGAGAGGAATTAATCAGTGAACCAGGCACTAGTCATTGCTTATTTACGCACGACATTGATAAGAAAGCCAAGTAATTCTCGTCACATATGCTGTTCGTCATGAAGGTGAAGAATTCTGGGCAGCATTGACGTCTCTTAAGCGGATGTATTCCGCGCGCACAAGGTCCATGCTTTCAGGTCCTGTGCTGTAGCAACACAACGACGTTGAGTATCGAAGAGTAACGAGAAAATAGCATCACATACTATTGATACATGCAATCTTGGACAAGCTTATACTTGTCCTTGCATGCCCATAAGAGTGAGATAGTCCGACCTTGCGTGCACTCTGCAAATTCTGCGAGGTACAGGAGTTAATCAAACCGTAAACGACATGTCAAAGTCAAGAAAAAGCCCAATACCTCTGACGAGAGTGTCACATTCCCTGAGTGCGCGTGCCTTTGTACTCTTCTCGAGCGCCTCCTCCTCTCGCCGTGACAGGGCGTTCATTGTCGTTCACTGTCCATCAAGTCGTTTCTTCGGACTCTCAGTTCCGAGTATGTCACGTGCCAGACAATGACTGACTAGAATTGTCATCACTCCGATCTCAACGAGCTCAAGCCTATAGGGCGCTCGCCTGCAGGCTGTAATCTAACGATGGGCCTGCAAATACTCAAGAGGGTAATCCAAAAGCAAGGGGCCCGGACATCGACCGTTGTCCGTTGTCTGGCTACACCCTCCTCTTCGAAGGGCGAATTTACACGGACGCTTTCCGACGGTCCTTCGCTCGACGATTTCATCGCTGAAAACGTACCCGAAAAAGTCGTTCTAGGCAATACCAATGCGTAAGTTTTGCCTATGACTTCCCCTACCTGCAGTACTTTCTCTAATTCAAATGAATTAGACCGCGTCTGCCGTCCTTCCTGAAGACAACCATACCAAAGGGTACATCGTATTCCAATATCAAGAAAGACCTACGTGGATTAGGTTTACACACAGTATGCGAGGAAGCTCGGTGTCCCAATATTGGTGACTGTTGGGGCGGTAAGGAGGGTGCCTCGGAGGAAGAGGGAAGGCGAGCGGCAACTGCTACCATTATGGTGCGTAACGCTTAAGACTGTTTCCCGCAGGATGCTTACCCTGGTCTGCATCTAGCTTATGGGTGATACGTGCACCAGAGGGTGTCGGTTTTGCTCGGTGAAGACCTCGAGAGCTCCACCTCCGTTAGACCCACACGAACCGGAAAACACAGCTGAGGCAATAAGTCGTTGGGGACTCGGTTATATTGTCTTAACAAGCGTTGACAGAGATGGTAAAGCTTGCACTAATTCTACCTGCCTTTCCTGTTTCTAATGCGGTTGTACAGACCTGGCAGATGGCGGTGCCCACCACTTCGCAGAAACTATACGAAAGATCAAACAAAAGTATGTATCTATTACGTGCAGCAGTACATGATGAAGTTTATGAATCTCCTATTTGTAGGGCTCCACAAATCTTAGTAGAAGCATTGACTGGTGACTTCGGAGGGTCGTTACCAATGGTATCCGTAGTTGCAAAGTCCGGGTTGGACGTATATGCCCACAACATCGAGACTGTTGAAGCTCTCACTCCATTCGTACGAGACCGAAGAGCAACGTTTAGACAGAGCCTCAAGGTCCTTGAACATGCTAAAGCGGAGGGTGTGCGTGTAACGAAGACAAGTATCATGCTCGGAGTAGGCGAGAACGAAGAACAAATCATGCATGCTTTACGTGGTACGCATTTCTCATAGCAATCGCCTTTCTGTGCTCCTACCTGATCTTGGTACCTCCAGAACTACGGAAAATCGACGTAGATGTCGTGACTTTTGGACAATATATGCGACCAACGAAACGACACATGAAAGTCGACCGATACGTCGAGCCCGCTGAATTCGACCACTGGAAAGAGGTCGCGGAGAACATGGGCTTCCTGTATGTTGCAAGTGGACCGCTTGTCCGAAGCAGTTACAAGGCAGGGGAATTCTACATCGAGAACGTTTTGCGAGGGAAGGGCACGGAGAAACGAGCAAAGAAGCTTCTTGCGTCAGAAGAGTCGGCATCGACTTTGGATAAAGCGACGTCCTAGAGATTACATACTATCCTACTTTTCTTCTCTACTACATATCAGATTTTAGAATGTATTGTAGAGCTTCGGAATAATACACACAAAATCAAATCACTAATTTGCCCAGATTGTAAGAGTAACGTGAGAATGGCTTACATAATTTAATTACCATTTCTGGATCGTGGTCAAACCTAAATTTTCGTCGTCCACAACAGACAGCACCTGCGTTCATCTCCAAGCACACCTCACTACAGCAATGGTGAGCATCTCTAATTGCACTGTCTGCATCAGTAATCCTAACCCATTTGTAGGATTCAAAAGCTCCCCCTGTTAAGCTTGCAAAAGTTTCCAAGGTCTGAGATTCACTTTCTATTTGTTCAAGATCAGGCATCGTTGACGACTGCGCACCTTTAGGTCCTAGGCCGTACTGGATCGCGCGGTGGTGTAACTCAAGTTCGCGTCGAATTCCTCGACGACCCGACCCGGTCGCTCATCCGTAACGTCAAGGGCCCTGTGCGTTCCGAGGACATCCTCGCTCTGCTAGAGAGTGAACGTGAGGCACGGTATGTCCATTCCCTTTCTTCATCTCCCTTGAAAATCGGGTTTTCTGAATGATCTTCGTGCAGTCGTCTTCGCTGATGGGCCATTTTGCGTCCATCCGTGGAGGATATTGTGCTCGTTTAGCTTCCCTCTGTTGTCTTGTTATCACATGTATCTTGCTCTCTGCAAATGCACGAGTTGGCTCTAGAGCCATAAAATTCTTTCCTATTTCGACCGACGACCCGCATACAAAATTTCTGACTTCGTCAGCACAACACATGCCATTTTTTGTTGCGAAGAAGTACGGTAATTTATACGGGGCTAATTGCTACATGGAAGGAGAAGCTTGAGCCAAGTCGGGCGTTCGGCAGAAGGACCATAACAAGTAATTGGCTCTGCACAACAGGAATATTTTACTTTTCTCCCAACACCTCGTGCATACACACTTTCTTCTATGCTTACATCTGATTCTTCGGCGCCACAATTTGGCAGGTGGTCTGAGACAACAGTCTGGAACTTATGGAAGATGCACACGGTCGCCAGATAAAAGCACCTTTAATTGCGTGATTGGAGGGATAAGATACAGAGTCCTTCGGCCGTTGCTAACTAACCAAATAACCCTCCTTCATCTCCATTTGTCCTCTCCTAAATTACTCTGTACTGTACAATCTTTGTGTCGAACTGTCAAGTTGTCGAGCAATGTCGAAAGCTAAAGGAGCCTTTGCCACCTTACTCTCGAGTCCGACTTACGTCGCAGGCACACTTGTCCTCGATTATACGTTGAGGGAGGTAGGGTCTAAATACCCGCTTGTGGTTATGGTCTCCAGCGGAGTGCCAAAGGAATGCCTCGATGTCCTTGCAATACGAAAAATAAAGACGATACCTGTTGAGAGGCTCACACCGAAGGTGGAGGGCTCTGCTATTCTGGACGAAAGGTTCTCGGATACTTGGTGCAAACTTGCGTGAGATACAATTTCGCATGTTCAAGGAAGCGGCAAAGAGCTTATACGGTACTTTGTACGTACAGGGCTTTCAATTTAGTAGACTACGAGGTGTGTCCGATTATTCATTCCGATTGATTGGATAAATACTGAAAGGCGTAAATGCATGGTTACAGCGAGTCGTATTATTGGATTCGGACATGATAGTTCGGAAGAGCATGGACGAGCTCATCGAAATGCCCCTTAATGATGGCTGGATAGCAGCTGTGCATGTATGCGCGTGCAACCCTCGAAGGATCGACTATTACCCAGCAGATTGGTGAGCTATGCCATGATAGACACACATATGACGCATTGCGTGATTCAAATCTAATAACGGATGCAGGATCCCAGAGAACTGTGCCTTTTCGAGCATTCCATACCCACCTGAGATCAAAGAAGGCTGCCCGCGCCCATACACGCTCTTAAACTCCGGTACCGTCGTCCTCACACCATCGACGCAGACGTTCAGAGAAATCGAACATCATCTAGCTACGTCTCCTTCAGTAGAGAAATACCGCTTTCCTGATCAGGATCTACTTGCGGAGTTCTTCTACGGCAAGTGGAAGCCTCTACCCTACACGTTCAATGCACTCAAGACACTGCGCGTAATCCATGAGAAACTCTGGCGGGACGAAGACATCCGGTGTGTCCATTATATTCTGGGGGACAAGCCCTGGAAGAAAAGGCCGAATCGTGAGGAAGGGAAGCAGGGTCCTCACTATGAAGTGAATTCGTGGTGGTGGGACGCTTATTTCCGACTTCAGAGAGAAATCGAAAGGGTGAGGACGGAAGACAACGAGAAGGCTTTGGGGTATGTAGAACAGTATGTTGCGGCGTAAGGACAGGCGTTGCATAACATCGAATGCCTTATACTTCCTTCATGTCTTGCTCCTATTGTACAGAATATGCCATTTAATAGAGTCAGTTTGTCTACGCCCTCCAGGCAACATGCACCTCGTCCGTCCTGAATCTGAAAAAGGTTGAGCGCGTACATATTTCGGGTCATCATTACTGCAGTCCAACTTACCGTTGTGTACAAGTCGTTTTGGACAAAGGTGTGGTATAACCCATTCTATAACTCAATAAACCCGCTTGTGCAATCATAATCCCGTTGTCAATGCAAAATCTATGGGGGACTTTAGAAATAAATACGAGGTAAGATTTAACACAATACTTACCGTTCATCGGTTGCGAATACTTGGCCTCCTCTTTCCTTGGCCATTATCCCCATCATCTCTTGAAGTCGTTCATTACCTTTAATAAGCCATGTCAGCTAGTCGACGTGAAATCAAAAGACTTAAGCGCATACATCCAACTCCACCCACAATAAGTACCTCTTTGCTACCGATGTGTGCCATTGCCCGTTCAGTGATCTCAACAAGCATAGCAAACACCGTTTCTTGTAATGAAAAGCATAAATCTGCAGCTGTGAAAGTTCCTTCTTCCCCTGTTTCCGTGGCTCTGTAGTTCCTATCCAGGGTGAGCGCCTCTGTTGAGGTAAGGATTCCAGATAACGAGACGTCCATTCCTTTAGTCGCGTAAGGAAGGTTTAAGAGCCGTTTCCCTCTAAAACACATGAATCATCTGAAGTTGACTGCGTGCAAGAAATAATCTCACTTTTTGGCTTCCTGTTCAATGTTATACCCAGGAGCAGGATCGTTACTCAGATTTACCACCCTCGCGAAACGATCAAGACAGTTCCCAACGGCAATGTCAAGCGTCTCTCCAAATATCCTGTATCGCTGCTGCGAATACGCGATGACCTGCGTGTTGCCTCCCGAGACGTATAGAACGACAGGGTTTTGAGCTCCAGTTATTTCTCGACCCATTTCAATATCTGTAATGTAATGACTTTAAATACGCATATATTTAGTTTGTGACAAGCAAACGCACGTACGTCCAACGCAGTGATTCACACCAACAAGAGGCTTATCATAAAGCAACGCGAGTGTCCGAGCAACTAGTGCAACCGATTGTAGCGGTGCACCCATACCAGGACCTTTAGTAAAGCATATACAGTCTACGCTCTCGATTCCCAATCCTGCCTTCTGCATTGCATCCTGGATGACCTGAAGCGCCCATTCTCTGTGGTGCTGCGCGGTATCTCGAGGCTGGAAGCCTTCACCTGGTGGAGTTATATATGTGTGGCGAACATTGGATAGGACTGTCGCTGAACCGTCCGGCGAATGTTTTATTACGCCTGCGCCGAGTTTGTTGGCGGAGCCTTCCAGCCCGAGGGCAATATAATCTCTCTCTATAATTTATGAGGTGCATGAGAATGCTTGTGCGTGGGATGTTTACTGACCAGGACGCTTGAGCGGACAAGTTCGAACACGTCCAGGCATGTCGGTACTGGTCGATGTCAATGATCAAGCAAGACCATCACAAAATCAAACAGACAATTGTATACCCTTGTCTATTTGACAAGTATTAGTGAGCTATATAATGCATTTTATGCTTATTTATGACAGAGATAAGTATATATTGTAGGAACAGAATTGTAATTGGAATATATTCTTAAGGAATTATTTGACATGAATATAATGGATTATAAGACTTAAACAAGACATATATAGTAATTACAAGATAGGGTAAATATTACAGCTTTCTGACAACCTATTTCAAGTAGATTGTAATAATTTTACTTACTAACATTACTATTATATTACTTGAGTCCTTTAGAAAAAATATGATCTCTCACAAAAGACAAAGGAATTTTGCATAAGTCCATTTTCCCACGTCCATTTCTATCACGTGTAAGTTTGTTTTTTGATACAAAAGATGTTCTTGCCAGCTCACAATTTCTTCCTTTCTCCCAACATTTTCTTTGTGTTTGTCCACTGTCCCCCTCCCTCTCTCATGTCTCTTGCTTGCTCCTGGCC